ACCCTTCTTCAGAAAATTTTCTTCATTTTCTGAAGAAGGGTCCCGACCCGAAACGTCAACTTTCCTGCTCCTCTGATGCTGCCTAGCCTGCTATTTTCCTCCAGCTTCACACTTTATTGTCTCTGACTCCAGCATCACAGTTCTTACTATCCCCATTTGTAATATGATCCTTAATGTCATGAAACATGCCAAATTGCTTCACTGGAGGTTAACAAAATAAAATCTTGCTGTAATCCATGTAACGAGATACTCGGAGAAGTGAAAAAGAGCTTGATTAAAATAGTGGCATTTAAGGAGTGCTTTTAAAAAGTAAAGTTAGAGAGGTGGAGAGGGTTAGGCAGGGAAATACACAGTACAGATCAAAGGCATTGCCATCGATGAATGAGGCCAGAAATGGGGAAGCACCACAGACTGGGGAGGATTATAGCGCTAGAGAAGAAGAAATGTCATGCAGGAGTTTGAATGAGAATGAGAACCCAGATGAGAGTTTTGAAAACTAGACACTTGTGGACTAGGAGCCAATGTAAGTCAGGCACAGGCTAATGGGTAAATTGGACTTGGTATGAGTTTGGATTTTGCAACAGAATTTTGGATGAGCTTGATTGTATGATGTGGACCAAGTCTTATGGTAACAAAATAACTGCTATTAATTTTGAACAAACAACTATCACACAATCAGGTAATGTTAATTTTGAGAAGCCTGGTGGAATTTGAAGTGGCATGGTGCATAATTTCACTTCCACAAGAAATTTGAGAAATTTTAATTAGAACCAGGCATCCTTGACAATTGTACAAAAATTCACAAATGTATCAGATACTAGAATTAGCATTACTTGTCTCATTGCTGTTAGGAATCCTTGAGGGTTAAAAAAGCCAGTCATCCAGAAGCAGTTTGGTCGCCCTTCAAAAATCCAGGAATGAAACTGACAATTTCGTTCCAACAGTTCAGTAAACCAAAATCCAAGTGTGCTTGATTCCCAGGATGTCTGGAGAACAAGACAAAATTTTCATTACAAATCAAATTAATACTCACTCTCATTTTAAATAAGTGGATGTCATTAACTTCCCTACTGATGTAAATTGTATTATCTGAAGCAGAGAGGATAAAAAAAATTATGCATTGTTGCTAACCTATAGATACAGGTTCAGAATAAAATCATCATTGTGTTTGTACAATCAGCTAAATGCTTCCTTACTTGGACACTGTGTTCACCTTTATTCCCATTTTACAATGACCTGTAGACAGTGGATTACAGAGGAAAAAAAAAGTGTTGGTTCTGGCACCCTCTGTGGTCTAAGCAGTATTTAGCTTTTCACTTTCATTGCCAAACCTCCAGGATAAAAGCTAAAAATGGGATTAATGTGGTTAGGTTTTTGTTGACCAGCGTAGAATAATGGATGGAACAGCCTCTTTCTGTGGTGTAAATGTCTTTGAGTCTATATGGATTGTCTTTTGAGCAACTGCCTCCTTAATGCCCTCCTTGATGCTCTGAAACTTTGTTCCAATTGTTTGCTTATACATTAGGCCCTCTAGCCCTCATACAATCCTATCCCAACAACGAGTCTCCATGTTGTCACATAATAACCTTTGCTAATCCACACAACTCCATCCACCCTCAAAGGCTCTTCATATTCTCCATGTAAATCCCTGCTCTCCCACCCATCCCCACTGCCCCTTACAGCCAACTTACCCAGAGCCACCATAGGTAGACTGCATAAACCATGTTATGATTAAATAAAATAAAGTTTTAAACATCTATTACAGAGTTCACTGTATAAAGAAGTCCTACTCATAGAAGCCCATTCAATTTAATTGCAGTCCCTCAAGTACTCAAACAAACATTGCATTCATAGTCCCACATTCTTTCCTTCCTTTTTGGGCAGTTAATCAAACTGAGAACTTACAGGCAGTAATTCTCCCCAACCACTGAGATAACAATTGGTTGTGGACAGCAGCCAATCTTTAGGGTTATGTCAATAAACTGCCATTAAAGCAACTACAACAAATCTTTGATAACAAAGTGTGGAGCTGGAGGAACACAGCAGACCAGGCAGGATCAGAGGAACAGGAAAACTGACGTTTCAGGTTGGGACCCTTCTTCAGAAAAATCTTTGTCAACTTTCAGGCATAAGCAAGCAGTTTTACTCAATTTTTGAAGGGTTGGCCTTTTAAAGAACTTGACAATTATAAATAACTTTTCCACACTTCACTAGAACTTATAATCTGTCGAAAGATTCATAGCTCCTTCAATGTGGGATAAGGCCTTTCCTATGACTAAAATGAGATCTATTTGAACTTAGCACTGAGGACTGTTCCAGTACTTGAATATTCCATGACAACTAGTCATCGCTTTATAATTACCCTTTTCCACTGAGCTGGAATTCTTGCATCATACATGCAGTCCAAGGCATCTCTGAGGGTTTCACTCATAATGATAGTTCCATCAATTGCAAGCTTCAGATCTATAAGTGTGTTTCGCACCAGAGTAATTACTCTTTGCATTCTGTCAATTTCTTGACGAAGAAAGATGTTCATTGGCTGCAGTGCTCCCATCTTCTGCAGTTTTTCTTTCACCTAGCAAATAATTCAATGTGTTAACTTAAAATCTCTTGTCTACAGTAAACAAAGCAATGGATACTAACTCTAACAGGTATGTACACTCTACAGAGTATGAATGGGATTTAGTTAAGCACATCTCATAAAAAGGATCAAAAAGGCAGGTATCTGGTAACACTACCTGATTGTAACATGTGGTATAGACCAGACCAAACTCCCTCAAACTATATTAAAGAAGATAGCCTAGACCCTAGCTTTTTCTTATTTTAAAGGTAAGTGTAAGACATTGCATTCCAGATGTAATTCAATTGGTCAAACTATTGACTTTAAGCAAAACACACTTTACTTTTACAGTACATTTAAAATGCAGACAAAATAAAAATAAAACAAAAGGACTCGCTTAAATGTAACTCTATCGAAATGCTGAACAAAATAATGTGTGTATATAAACAACTATGAATTAACCATTCCAATATAGTAGCATCCCATAAACACACCCTTGGCAAAGGCAAAGTCAGTAAAATTGATTGTCTCACATGCAATTCTAGTAGCAGGAAGAGAACCCCAGCTTTTAGCTGTAACAGAGAGAGGAGAAAGAGCTTCCACATCCAGCTTCAAGGTCCTAGAAACTGCTGAAAGCTAAAACTAAAAATTCTGGCTCTGTGGGAGTTTGACACCACCCACTCAGGCTGCTTCTATTGTTCCAACTTTAAAAATAAAACAAACGTGTCACAAGCTGTTTGGCTTTGAACAGACTGCACATCTCTCTCTCAATCTTTCTCCATAAAAAAAGGAAAAATATACACTTCTTAAAGCTATAGTAATATCACACATGGCATATCAAAATTAAGCAACTTAAAAAAAATCAAAACAATCAGTTCAATGATAAAATCTCTACAAATTTTGCTAGCATATGGTTTCAAATATTTACAGTATAGCTCTTTGAGAAAACATCAAGGCCATTTATAGCTTATCTTCTGAGTGAGGGTCTGTTGATGTACAGGCCCTGATTCCATTGTTCAATAATATTTTTCCCTCACTATGGAAGGACTCTGAACTGATCTCAAGTCTTAATCATCCAGGTCTTTCTGACAATCACCGACACTGCTTAAAGTTCTTTATACACTTTTAGCACAACTAAAGTCAACAGTAATTTTTAAATAATTTATCATAGAATCCCTACAGTGTGGCAACGGGCCCTTCGGCCCAACAAGTCCACACCAAACCTCTGATGAGCATCCCACCCAGACCCATGCCCCTACCCCGTTTCCCTTTAACCCATCTAATGTACACATCTCTGAACACTACAGGCAATTTAGCATGGCCAATCCACCTAACCTGCATGTCTTTGGACTGTGGGAGGAAACTGGAGCACCCGACGGAAAACCACACAGAACCCACACCCACTAGAAGGACTTTAAGCCACTTCTCAAAAATGTATGAGAATGAGGCTTTTGTGACTACAAGAGATGGGAGGTGGTATTAGATTTGAGACTGTATTAATTAAGTAATGGCAGAGAAGGGCAGAAGCATGGGGAAGAGATATATCTTTGTGGAGATCAAGGTAAGAACACGAAAATATGATGAGACGATAAGAAATTGAAACTCTAGCAGACTATTTAGCCCTTGGGGCCTGCTCCACCATTGAACATGATCATGGTTCTATCTTCTACCTGAATTACACGTTCCAACAGTATATTTATATCACTTAGTATTCAAAAATCTATTGACTTCTGTCTTGAAGATACTCAATGACTGAGAATCCACAGCTATCTGGAGTTGAGAATTCTAAAGAATCCAACCTTTTCAGTGAAGAAATTTCACATCTTAGTCTTAAATAGTCAATACTTCATTCTGAGACAGTGACCCCATGTTCTAAGTTCCATAACCAGGGGAATATTTTCTTGGTATCTACCCTGTCAAGTCACTAGTTTACGTAGATACAAGAGCTGACAGAGAAAGAGGAATAAGTACAAGATTATGTCAGACACTATGAATTCTGCTGAGCGTAACTCAGCTCTCTACTCCCAAAAGTCTGTCCTCATCTACAAAGCACATGACAGCCCACTTGATTGGAATCACATCCACAAACATTTACTCCCTCCACCAAAACATAATAGTGGCAGGGTGTACCATCTGCAAGATGCACTGGAGAAATTTGCCCAGGATCTTCCCATTGCACCTTCAATCCCATGACCACTACCATTTAGAAAGTCAAGGGGAGCACATACATGGGAACACCACTACCTGCAAGATCCTCTCCAAACCACTCACCACCTTCATTTGGAAATATATTGCTTTTCTTCATACAGTTGCTAGGTTAAAATCCTAGAACTCTCTTATTATAAGAGCATTTTAGGTATACTCACAGCAAATGGACTATTGCAGTTCAAGAAGACAGCTCAGCACCACCTTCTAAAGGGCAATTAGGACGGGCAATAATCACTGGTCTATCGAGTGATGCCCACATCTGCATAATGATTAATAAAAAGGAAAACAAAAAGATGCTCAATCTTGATTTGTTAGATCTGATGGAAATCTGTTCCATCAGATATCCTCAATGTGAAGATGGGACTTTGTCTCAAAAAGAACTTTGCATTGATTACTTTTACCATGACATGTACATCTTGAGGGCAAATCGAAATAGGTTTGTCTCTCTTGTTGCTCTCCTCATCACCTGTTGCATGTACACTTTAGCAGATATATCTGCAGTGGTAATGCTGCTGCAACACTCGTTGGACAATAATGAATATTCCCTTATCCAGAGTACATTCTGTGCTCTTGTCACCTTCAGTGCTATTGGGCAGCTGTCCAAATTTTGACACAAGTCCCCATGTAGGGAGTAGCCTATGCTGGTTCATGGGCTTATTCTGCTACAGGAGAGGTGCCCATCTCTTGATGTTGAGCTGTTGTTGCCTTTCTGCCCAAGAAGATTGGCTTTTGTCTGCGAAAACCAGATTTCCTTCCTGAGCAAGAACTACCAGATCACCTTTAGCATTATGTTGGTCAACCTGATCAGTTCTAAAGGGTCCTAGGCTGGATAATCCATGGCAACAACCCTCTGCTTGAGAGTCACTCTCAAAGGACTGGTCTGTCATTCACCTTCCTTTCCCTGGATCAGGAGAAAGGTTTGACAGTGTGGAGTATGAATACTTATTCAGGGAATTTGGATCTGGGATGCATTTCTTCATCTGGATCCAACTTCTGTGTCTGATTAACACTAATGGATATTTGTTGGCATTCTTATGTTTCAGGAAAGGAGTACGTCACAGTATCCAATGTCTGGTCAGGTATATGCCAAGTGTGTGGAGCCTGTCCTTTACCTGCTCCAGAGGAAGTATATGGAATGGGCTGTGTGGAGTATGGGTCCTGAGGTTGTCCTCTTAGCTTGCACCAATGATGTGCTGATCTCGGTCACAGAAGCTACTGATGAAGGGCACACAAGTATCAAAAGGTCTACCAAATAGTGTCTTTCAGGAGGATCAATTGGGAAAAATGTTCCAGAATCCTAATTGGTCAGCGGCTCCTGGAGTTACTAACAGCTATGCTCTGGTCTTTTGCTGAGAGCACCACTCACTCCCTTTACCTTGGAAACTATCTTAGCCCTGCTGAGGACACCTGGCTACCAAACTGGTACAACCTGGAGGCTAGGGCTACCACTTTTCCTACAGGGGTCAAGATTTTATCATAAGCTAACAATTCTTTGGTACTGCTTGGTCACAATGAACTATCCCCACTGATTTTGTTGCAATATATAAAAGAAACTAACCAACTTCTTCTGGGACAAAAGGATCCCTGTTATGCTGCTGGTTTGGAAGGATGGTCAGATGCTAGTGTGCTTTTGCACACAGGCAACAACTTTTATTCTTTAGACCCTGCATATATATGTGTTTGCTAAAACTCCCCAAGTTATTGTGTACTGATGAAATATTTCTTTCATGAATTGCAAGGCTGCAATTTCACACATAAACCGAGGCACCTCCGGTTCTTCTTAAGAAGCTGCCTATCTTTTACTAGGAACTGATCAGGGTCTGGAAAATAGTCACCCCCAGCTACAGCTCCCTTCTGTCATGAATGGGAGCTGCTGACCAAGAATACACAACTCCGTAATTCCAGTTCAAATGACTGGTAGAGGACAAGGCTCTGGTTGAAAAGGTAATCGGAATCAGGGATCTACTGAATGTCAGAGGAGTGGGCTAGATGTCACTGGGTAGTTTACATGACAAAGTCCTTGTACGTACTCGGCTCATGGCTAATGCAACTAAGAATCCTAAAGTGGTACTTTGCCTAAACAACGCTTCAGACGTCAAGGTGGTTCAAGTCTCCCAGTTGACCCCCAAATGTACAGAATTTCTCATCATTGCCAAGCTCCAAAAACTACCTCAGGCACTTCTCTCCCCACAAGTTGTGTCATCTCTTGCAAATTCCCTCTATTATTCCACTCTTTTCTAATGTAGTAGATATTGTTGTGATCATTTGAAATTTGGCATCATTGCATTTGTCCTCATGAATGCAGTATGAAAAATTCTGGCTACATCACTTTCTTTGTGGTAATATTCAAGTACTGCTTTTGGTTTCAGTAGAGCAGTGGTGCCTCTTTTGGAAGACACACTTAGTTCCTTGTTATTTACAACCTTCTGATTGAATCAAAGCAAATATAATAGATACTTTTACATTGGTAGTGTGGAAATGTTTGCTTGTAATCTATAATTGTGTGAGCGAATATTCATGAACATGCATATAATTGACTCCAGACACATCTATTACCAAGTGGCTTTCAGGAGCATCACAATAGATGGGACAGAATATGGAGTTATGCTAACCACTTATTCCTGCTTTCTTTTCCATTTTGCAGTTCATCTACAATTAACAAAGATATATATTGAAGCACCTTATTATGGCGCTCTTTCTTACTGTGTCACTCTTTCTACTAGAGGCTGTATATGAACACCATTCCAATGTTTCTTCTTTTACTCCTCTACGTTCATCAGAAAAATGAAATTTGAGTAAGATGCCAGTGATATTGATCTATTAGTATTCAAGGAATCTGCAATTGTTTTTTAGTGATATACTTGTTCTGCATTTTAAGGCTGTGAAAATGTTAATATATCACCTATAATTTACAACTTTATCCATATGTAAAATCTATAGTAACAATGTTAAAGGATTTGACAAACTAAAATTTCTACCATTTTCTGTGTATCTACTTGTTAGCACAACCCTATTTAGTGATAAACGCACAATGGGAAGAATTTCCAACTTTGATTAGGCACATAAAATGGGTGGGAGTGCACTGACCATTCTTTTAGCACTGTGTCCATTTTTTTCTGAGTACGTATCCATTCCTGCCTGTTTTACAGCCTACTCAAATTGAAAATTCTGTCCACCAGAAACTGCATTTATAAAACAGCTATAGTGTTAGACAAAGGAAATCCCACATTGCACCAACATTAAATTTACAAGTATGTGGAAGATTGAGTGATAGTTCCCAGAGACAGAAACTTGCATCATTTTTGAAATTACATGGATAATCCAATAAGCAATGTAAATCTAATGTCAAAGCCACTTTGTAAATTACTGAGGTTATATGTTGCATTTTCAACTTAGATTATAAACCTACATAATCTGAATTTAAATATTTAGTTGGCAGGAGGTACTTGTACCTTGCTCCTTAAACATTTACATTTCTAGCTGTTGGGAGACATCATTAGTGATGACCCATAAAGTATATTCACTCCTTTTTGTGCACTATCATTAGAACTCCAGCCAGGAGGCACCAAATAACATAACAGAGGTTCAACTAGCTGAAACCTTTAGCACTCCTGTAGAAATATTATATGCAACATACACAATTCATTGAAACCATTACTTCTCCTTGCACAAGTCCAGTTCAACGAAAATGGTCAGAGGACATCTGTTCCAACATCAAGTCAACAAAAGCATCAAGTTTAGACAAGCGGTATTTGTAATTTAAAAACCAATGTAACTAATTTTGTAAATCTGGTGAATCTGCTGAACTATTTGAGCAACTCAACTGATGCCAGAAATGTGCAGGCGTAATCTTTTGGACATTCGCAATAAGACTTATTTTCATTGCAGGAAAGTTTAACATTGACCATGAAGCTACTCATCTAGTCTGACAGCACTGTTAGTCAACTCTAAACTTAATATTTAATGTACTAAATCATCAAATTACCGAATTAGATATTCACCATAATTTGTTGGGAAGTAACAATCCAGTAGAAACTAAATTAATCTGGCTTCTTCACCTGGTTTATTACTTACCTCAAATGGTATGTAGTCCACAGGCAACTTATCTAACATGTCATCAGCCAACCTTGCTACTGCAGCTTCTCTTGTTTCACCTCCTCCATTGGAGCTGTCCTTGGGCTGAATGCTAAGTATAGTGTCTAGGACACCCTTGGCAAGCTTGCTCTGGTAAGTGATATCAGCATTAGTGTGCAGACCAAATGCTTCTGGAGTGTCATATGTAGGAAGACTCTGCAACATACAGAATGTAAGAACTATTGACCACATATAAAATATGATAATATGTAAGAGGACATGTGACATGGTAATAGCATAAGTACAGAAAAAGTGGAAATAATCTATGAGCAAACATAATATGATCACAATATAAAAAGACAGATACTTAATTGCAGTGTATGAATAAATAACTAATTACAGAATAAATTAAAGGAAATGATTAATAGGTCAGGTTTCCTTTTACAAATATATATCAGGTAATTCCATGCTTTGATAAAAATTCATTGTAGAATATTCACATATCTCGTACTATAAACAAAAACGCTTAAAACTCAGTGAACAATGGTAATAAAAGAAGATGCAGTGTTTGAATGGAAACACCTTCAAGTAATGAATTAGGAAATTTGAGGAACAGTTTTATTTACTTTGTGAACACTATTTTCACAACTAACTATTGCTGGACGTGCTGAAAGTTGATTAAACTGTTTACTAACCTGAATGTATGTTAAGTACTGATCCACTGAATTGCACTTAGGAATGCTGTAACCCTTGTAGAAACAGAAGTCTGAAGCAAACATATTTTCACTGAACCAGACTTTAGCAAATGTGTTAAGCAATCGTTTGTCATAATCATCTGTGACTCTGCCACCATATTGAATCTCAGCAATCATGTATCTCACCGTAGTCCAAGAAACACCCTTGAGGCAGAAAAAGTGCAATTGAACATCATCACATACTGCTTCTAAAAGATTAAAGAACTTCAAGATTGATTTTAATAATAATGGAGAAAATGACTGCAGTAAATTACAGGAATTATAATTAGCTATATGTTATTGTTAAGATTTTGCTTTGCTCTATCAGTTCTTTGTCCCTCTTACATAAAGTTGTAATCAGAGCGAAAATGATTTGTGTCACATATCCACACAAATATTTGGGCATGTGTTATACTACGACTCTCCATTCTGAATTTAAAATTGTCTCAGATGTTCCTCAAACTCTTTCTACATAGGTGCACTTCTTGTCTACATGACCTATTTTCCAGTAATCAATTCTTCAATATTCAATTATCACTCATATGTGAGCTGAGATGAATGCTTCAATGAACGCAAAACATAGGCTCTGAATTTCTGTGAGGAGTTACTGATGTCCCGTTATAACTTATTAAGATTATTGTCTGATGCCCTGGAAATCTGATCCAAATGACTAATTTTTTGCCAGTTATGTCATTCCTATGACTGTGGAAATTCCAGGATTCTTCAGCAAACTTCATTAATTTCTGAAATGTGGTCCATTCTTTGAAAATATTGGGACCAATTTGAGGCTCTGAGGTCTTTTAAGGTCATAACATTTTAGTTCAATTGCTATATCCATCATCCCTTGGTACAAACATGTTGGTGCAAATGTGATTACACTACTATAAGAAAAACCTCCACAAAGAAAGTGTAAACAACTTGCAATGTTCACAAAGACTACTACACTACAATTTAGGTGCATGTTAATTACATTGGCAACATTATACACTATCTGAAATCAACTTGCCTGTTGAATGTTTGAGAATAGCTAAACTTTCTGTCATTAATTATTAAATTATTCAGCACCAAGAAACAGTATTGTCACAGCAGAATTAAGAACCAAGAGTAGTGAACAGTACCTTCTTGATATCCATATCATCTAGATGGTTTTGTACAAATTGCACAGTAGCATTCAAGTCAGCTTGGTTAAATTCATATGGAATATTCCAACCAAGAGGTCCATACTTGCGACGTTCTTGCACTGTTGAATGTAAAAAGGCCACTGCGTAGAGCACAGGCTTCCACTGAGGCATGTTACTAACATCCAAAAGATCCTGACTGATTCCTGTTGATAAAAGTAAATGTCTTATAGGAGCTTAGGATAAATGACTGCTGTAGAGTTTTCACATTAATTGAGGAATCTTCTAACTGAGCGATTCAAACATTTACCCATGTGGTTACTGTACAACTGTAAAATTACTATGGGTGAAACCCTAAATTTATGTATTCAATTATTTGTAGAAGGTTTATGGTGTACATATATGTTGGAAGCAGTTCAGAGAAGGTTTACTAGACTAATATTTGGATTGCCTTATATGGAAAGTTTACACGGGCTAGGCCTCTATCCTCTGGAGTTTGAAGGAGCTTAATTGACTTAATTGAAACATAAGATCGTGAGGGGATTGTGGATGTTGAAAGCATAATTCCTCTTGTGAGAGAATCTAGAAAGCGGGGTCATAGTTTAAAAATAAAGGGGAGCCCATTTAAAACAGATTTTCTTTCTCTTATATGACTAGAAAATGTTAAAAGATGGTTGTGTTTTAAATTGTGGTGGTGCTGGAGATTCCGAATAAAGCGGACATCACGTTTTGCCACTTTTTTTTCTGTCTGTCATTGTCATGCACAGTGAATTAGCCTGTCCAAATCCCCACGCAGCCTCTCTGCATATACCTCATATTATTATTTCCATTTTGAGTCGTCAGCCAACTTGGAGATATTACAATTGTGAATAGTTGGGGCACAGCACCAATTCTTGAGGTAGTCACAAATGACCTATCTATTCTTTCTCTTTGTTTTCTGTCCATTAACCAATTACCAAAGGCAGCAAGGCAAATCCTGTTGGCTTTGGTGGTAGCTTCTCGGTGGATGTCACATTATTAGGTAGTCCTGGCATGAAAAGTAAGATGGCCCTCTGAAAGCCAGCCTGGCCCCAAATATTTGCAACACATAAGCTTTTCTGTGATTCTCAACTTGCAGACCCCATTCTATCCACACTGACCCTTTGTTCTTGAAGAGGCGGTCATTGTTTCTGGTAGTGCTGACAAGCAATAAAATCTCATTGATTTACGATCGGTTGGCAGTTCATAGTGGACAGGGTCTTGCTGCCAGTTTTCTGAATCATGGGGAAGATCCAAGAGTGGTCAAATTAAGTGCCTTATAATTTGAATTAGCTAATGGAACATGGAAACCTTGTCCAATGAATTTTCCCTTAGGCTTACATGAGGGGATTGTATCCTAGAAGCCTGGGTCAATATTCCAAATTGGGTCAATCTGATGGACTAAATGAAGCTGGATAGGATATGTGGGCATCCCTGCCCAATTACCTGGTCATGTTCTAAATCAAGGAGATAGAATTACCTGCATTAACTGGATGAAGCTGGTTTATTAGAGAGTGCTAATGGTCACCCAAGGGGCCAAAGATTGAAAGGGATTAAACCCCTTTTAAAGCTAAACAGTTTACTAATAATTATCATACTTTTTGAGCCTTTTTATTGGTTTAATCAGATCCATGTGAGCACCCAGACTTGCAAGGGCACAATTCTTGAGGAATCCAAGGGACACACATCTTGCCCCAGAATTACACTCTTGATAATGGAGGAGAGGTAGAAAAACCATTGACGTCCTCATTTCCTTGAAAATGCCTCTGCGAAATCTGAAGTCAAAACCTGGCAGAAGTGGAACGTGGCGGGGGGGGGAAGCGGAAGCATTTCTTAGTTTTGTTCTGGAGATCTGCTATGATTTTCCCTTAATCTCAGTGAGAATTTTGGAACTGTGGAATTTTAAATCACAACTTGAGGCCAATTTGATCATTTGCACTTGTTCTACTTTTTGGCATGAGCTAACTATTGAATCTCATTTACCTGATACTTCTCCATAATTAGCAAAGCAATATGCGAGTACTGTCACCTCAAAAATGACAGGTGCTATGTGGCCAGGTTTAGCCTCAGTATATTCACGTTTTTATTCAAAAGGTATTAAAAGCATCCGTGCACACCTACCAATATTGTTGGCTTACCACAGTAGGTCCTTCTTAAACCTGCCCGCAGGCCTTGTGGAGGCTCATTGGTGAACTTGACTGACATCTGGAGAAGTGCAATAGGGAAAAGCTTATGGACCTCAGTCGTCATCCACAAGCGGAAACTTTCATGGATACTTTCTGTTTCTGTAATGATGTCCATTAATTCATCTAAGAAATCAAGACCTAAGTGACAATTCTGAAGCAAAGCCCAACCACCCTAAGAAAGAGAGAATAAATGATTGAGTATATGCTCTCAGGAAAAAAAGTATACAAAATACCAAAGCAAACATTAAGTACCATGAACAGTTAAAAACAACTTAGGCTTTTAATAGAGGTAGTAGGAACTGCAGATGCTGGAGAATCTGAGATAACAAGGTGTAGAGCTGGATGAACACAGCAAGCCAAGCAGCATCATAGGAGCAGGAAGGCTGACGTTTTGGGCCTAGAACCTTCATCAGAAAAAGGGTTTTAATAGGTCAGTTGAAGGCTTGATGTGAAAGAAGATTGAGGACAGCTATAGCTGCAATAAGAGAAGACATTTCTGACTACATTAAGTGAGGGGACACTCAAATCTTGTTTTAGATTAGATTTGTAGCTCGGGTTGTGGATGTCGTGATTGATTCGCTCACCGAGCTGGTTTGTTGTTCAGAAGCGAACCAACCAAACACAACACTCAAATCTTGTGTTGGACCATTGGAAAATGTCCAAGGGGAGATTAGGAAAAACTTTCAAGGCACAGGAAGATACTAAATGAATACTTTGTATTGGTTCATTCTGAATGATGATGGTCAATTGACAACATTATGACCCTATTATCAACAATATTTTTAACGTTAAATTAGAAGAGGATATCTTTGAAGAAAGAAAGAACAAAGAACCTTAAAACAGACTGAATAGCTGGCAGAAATGGTAGTCACTCATAGGTCATTTAGAAATTGGGACAGATACTATGTGATCACTTTACCTTTAACAGCTGGATGCAATTAAAGGTTTTTCTTCAAAACAAAGAAAGACAGGACATGGGTGTCACTGGGGCAGTTAACAGTCAGCTACATTACAAAGTGTCTGGAATCATACATAAACCAGACCAAGTAAAGATGAAGGCTTCCTTTCCTAAAGATAATGAATGAACAAGGTTGGTTTTTACCATGGTCTGGTAGTCACATGGCTGCTGAATGCAATATTTCTTTAAAAATATTTTGATGGATATTTATCAAATTAACTAAATTTAAATGATAGCATTTGAACTCCTGTCTCCAGGTAGTTAGTCCCGGTCTCTGAATTCCTACATAATAAATATGCTACCAATTCCTCTGATGAAACAACGTTACCGCCCCTTTGGACTGGAAGCAGGCAAAGAAGTTCCAAAATTAAAACCTGGGAATAAGGCAGAACCAATCCACAGGTCCACTGGCTTGTTGTCAGTAATAAATGAGGTATGTGACAGAATCATTAGACTGTATTTTGGAACCATTTAGATAGACAAGCCCATATAGGGGAGGTGATGGCCTAGTAGTAATCTCGCTGGACCAATAATCCAGATAATGTTCTGGGGATCCAGGTTCAAATTCTGCCATGGCAGATGATGGAATCTGAATTCAAAAGAAAAAATCTTGAATTAAGAGTCTACCAATGACCATGAGTCCATTGGCGATTGTTGGAAAAACCCATTCGGATTCACTAATGCCCTTTAAGGAAGTAACTGCCATCCTTACCTGGTCTGGCCTACATGTGACGGGTTGACTCTTAACTGCCCTCTGGCCAATTAGGAATGGGCAATAAATGCTGGTCTAGCCAGCGATGTCCCCATCCCATGAAGAATATTAAAAAGAAAACCCAATGTAACTTCCCTAAAAGAAGGCTGTGTTTCATCAATTTGAATCATGGCTACTGGAGGAGCGTGATTCAATTGATATGCTCTACCTGAACTGTCAGAAAGCTTTTAATAAATATTACACAAGATGCTTCTCTACAAGAGAGAATTTTGTGGAATTGAAAGTAAAATTTTTGGATTGAGAATGTGTGAAAGCCATGGACTTAAAAAAATTGTCAATGAATTTGGATCTGCTCAAAGGCTGGTTATCAGTGGTGTTCTGCAGACACCTTTGCTAATTGCTTTTTTCATTGACGATCCATAATGAAGGTGTTGAGGAATTTATTGCCCTTCTATAGTTTCCCTTGAGAAGGTGGTGGCGAGCTGCCTTCTTAAACTGCTGCAGTTCATATGCTGAAGGTAGATCCACAATGCCCTTAGGGAGGGAATTCCCAAGTTAACAGACATTACTGAGTCACATATGCAAGTTAGAACTTGAGGATGCTGAACTACTACACACAGATTTTAATTTTCAAGGGATGATGGCAAATCATGCTTATTTTGGAAAAATGCAGTGTTAGACATGGAGGTAGTCAAATATTAAATGAAACCAGGGGTCACAATCTGAAGATATCAGGCAATCCATCTAGGACTGAGATAAGGAGAAAAATCTTCACCCAAAGAGTGGTGAGCCAATGGAATTCACTACCAAAAACAACAGTCAAGGACAAAACATTAAATGATTTCAAGAAGGAGTTGGATATGGCACTTGGAGCTATTCGGATCAAAGGACATGGGCTATTGAGTTGGATGATCAGCCATGATGATAATGAATGGTGGAGCATGTTCAAAGGGCTGAATCGCCTAGTCCTGCTCCTATCTTCTATGTTTCTATATTTACACGCTAAAGGGAAATATAAATAAAGCCAGTGGTGAACGAAAGAGGTTAGGGTGAATTAGTGCATTAAACATGAAAGGTTTTTAACCAATACTAACTCAAACAACTAAGATTCTTGGATGGTTTTACAGAACAATGTATTATAGAACCTTACAAACTATTTTGTCCATATTTGAGATTTTGTATTGACTTCTGTAGAAAACAATCTCTGGTTTTGGGCCCCTTTCATGATGCTGAATATTAAGATTTTTGAAAGGATGCATAGGAGGACCACAAGATTGATTCTCAGTTTAAAACTTTAGTTATCCTGACTGGCTCAATGAGCTGAGTCTTTGTAATTCTAGAAATTACAGAAGAGGTGGTGCTGGAGGATTTAATAAACAAAGGTGGATCAGTCTCTGGGACTTGATCAAGTGTATCTCAGGATGTTAAGGAAGAAATTGTGGGCCCCCAGCAGAGATCATTTCCATAGATCCCCTACAGTGTGGGAACAGGCCCTTCAGCCCAACCAGTCCTTGGAGCATCCCACCCAGACCCAAACCCCTATAACACAGCTAATCTACATATCCCTGAGAACTACAGGCAATTTAGCATGGCCAATCCACCTGACCTGCACATCTTTGGACTGTGGGAGGAAACCAGAGCACCCAGAGGGGACCCATGCAGACATGGGGAGAACATGCAAACTCCACACAGACAGTTGCCCAAGGCTGGAATTGAACCCAGGTCCCTGGCGCTGTGAGGCAGCAGTGCTAACCACTGTGCCACCCCTGAATTGTATCATCTACAGCCACAGGTGAGGTGCTGGAGGACTGCAACGTGGCTAATGTTGTGCTTTTATTTAAGAAAGGTTGAAAGGAGAATCCTGGGAATTATAAACCTGTCAGCCTTACATCAGTGGTGGGTAAGTTGTTAGAGGGGATTCTGAGAGATAGGATTTACATGTATTTGGAGAGGCAAGGACTGATTAGGGATAGTCAGTATGGCTTTGTGAGTGGGAACTCATGTCTCACAAACTTGATTGAGTTTTTTGAGGACGTAACAAAAAACGATTGATGAGGGCAGAGCAGTAGACGTTGTCTACATGGACTTTCGTAAAGCCTTGACAAGGTTCTGCCTGGTAGGCTGATTAGTAAAGTTAGATCAGGGATTTAGGGAGAGTTTGCCAATTGGATACAAAATTGGCTTCATGATAGGAGACAGAGGGTGATAGCAGAGGGTTGGTTTTCAGAATGGAGGCCTGTGACCAGCAGAGTTCCGCAGGGTTTTGTGCTGAGTCCCCTGCTGATTTATTATAAATCATTTGGATGAGAATTTAGGAAGCATGGTTAATAAGCTTGTGGATGACACCAAAATTGGTGATATAGTTGACAGTGCAGAAAGTATGCTAAAATTACAAAGGAATCTTATCAATTGGGCCAATGGGTTGAGGAGTGGCAGATGAAGTTTAATTTGGGTAATTGCAAGGTATTGGATTTGGGTAAAACGAACAAGGGTAGAGAGATAGTAGGAACTGCAGATGCTGGAGAATCTGAGATAACAAGGTGCAGAGCTGGATGAACACAGCAGGCCAAGCAGCATCAGAGGAGCAGGAAAGCTGATGTTTCGGGTCTAGACCCTTCTTCAGAAATGGGAGAGGGGAAGGGGATTCTGAAATAAATAGGGAGAAAGGGGGAGGCGGATAGGAGATGGATAAAGGAGAAGATAGGTGGAGAGGAGGCAGATAGGTCAAAGAGGCGGGGGTGGAGCCAGTAAAGGTGAGTGTAGGTGGGGAGTTAGGGAGGGGATAGGTCAGTCCAGGGAGGACGGACAGGTCAAGGGGGCAGGATGAGGCTAGTAGGTAGGAGATGGGGGTGGGAGGAGGGTACAGTGGGAGGAAGGACAGGTTAGGCAGGTGGGGACGAGCTGGGCTGGTTTTGGGATGGGGTTGGAGGAGGGGAGATTTTGAAGCTTGTGAAGTCCACATTGATACCATTGGGCTGCAGGGTTCCCAAGCGAAATATGAGGTGCTGTTCCTGCAACCTTTGGGTGGCATCGTTGTGGCACTGCAGGAGGCCCAGGATGGACATGTCATCTAAGGAATGGGAGGGGGAGTTAAAATGGTTCGCGACTGGGAGGTGCAGTTGTTTGTTGCGAACCGAGCATAGGTGTTCTGCAAAGCGGTCCTCAAGCCTCCGCTTGGTAGGGTAGGACTTGTATTGTTAATGGTAGGTCCTGAGTAATGTTGTCGAACCGAGAGACCTAGGGTTTCAGGTAAATAGTTCTTTGAAAGTTGCGTTGCAGGTAGACTAGGTGGTTCAGAAGTCATTTAGCACGTTTGCTTCATTGCTCAGACAACGGAGAATAGGATTTGGGGCGTCACGTTGAGGTTGTACAGGATATTGGTTAGGCCACTTTCGGAGTACTGTGTACAGCTCTGGTTGTCCTCGTATAGAAAGGATAATATTAAATTAGAGAGGGTTCAAAAAGATTTGCCAGAATGTTGCCAGGACTGGAGGGTTTGAGTTATAAGGAGAAGCCTGATAGGCTGGGACTCTTTTTCACTGGAGTATAGGAGGTTGAAGGGTGATCTTAGAGGTTTATGAAATCATGAAGAGCGTAAATAAAGTGAATAGCAAAGGTCTTTTCCCGAGGGTAGGGGAGCTCAAAACTAGGGGACATATTTTTAAAGTGAGAGGAGAAAGATTTAAAAGGGACCTGAGGGGCAATGTTTCACAGAGTGGTTTGTACGTGGAATCAACAGCCAGAGGAAATGGTAGATGCAGGTTAATTACAACATTTACAAGACATCTGGACAGATACAAGAAGATGAAAGGTTTATACAGGGATATGGGCCAAATGCAGGCAAGTGGGAGTAGTTTAGTTTGGGAAACTTGCTCAACATAGATGAGTTGGACTGAACTTGTATGACTCTATAAATGTAAATCATTTGAGAGTGATTTGACTGAAATTTATAAAATAAATTAGATTTTCTTTTTGTAGCCTAATTAATTTCAACTGGATAAGTCAGGAAAAACCAATGTGCAATTTATAGCAGGATAGAATTAAACATTACGGGGTTTCCTTTTTCAGAGGACAGTTTGGAACAGGTTGCAAGGTCATCCAAAGATTTCTAATTTGCTGTATTCCAATGAGAGCAGGAGCTGTTCCCAACTGCAACAAAGGTCATCCTGTATAACAAGATACTGACCCTAGGATATATATCAAGGCCAGTGTGATCTCCTGTTTGGCTAGAATAACCTATGTGGTTCAGTGAGGAATTTTTCAGGTTTTTTTTTTCTAATACTAGGCCGAGACATTTATCTGTTTTATGGATTCTCCCATGTGGTTACATGGCTTTAGGTAAGTGGGGTTTACTTATTGTGATGTAAGAGGCATTTTAAATAAGACAGATCATTTTTATATGACCATATTAATAGCACTGCATTTTTGTGTGATAAAATATTGTTCCATTTGAGATCCATTCCATAAATACCAATGACAAAATTAGCAGAAGCTGATAAACAGCTTAAAGAAACTAACAATCAATATCCAATGATATATGAAAATAAGTAAGAGGCTGAAATTCCATGAGGGCAAGGGAGTGACAGCGCCCTGTATCCCGATTGTCGCTATCTTCCACCATAACTGCAATTCCCTGTGGAAATTCTGAAGTAGTGGCAAAGATAGTTTATACAGTTTCTCAGGGGTTTCATCCCTCTTTGGTTAAATGATCAGTTACTTCCATTGAATTAAACAATTGTTTTGAAGGCTGCCGAACTTGAATATTAAAACAAATGAAGAGAAGGTATTGAGAGCTTGAGTTTATGAATTGTAACTTCTGCAAGGAAAATTCATTGGGATTGTGTGTTTAATCATATTTATGTTCGTACTTACAAGTTGCATCATCAGTGTTACATTGCATTCCGTACATAAACACAGAAATATATACATAACACTGATAAAAGAAGTTTCACATAATACTGTAAATAGGAATTCCAATTTGGGAATGGTGGAATATAGAGTAGTAATCACAATTTTAAAAACCCATTTGCTTTTCAGATTCCCATCATGTCTTCCTAACATTTTTCAGTACTCTAAATACTCTATTGTTACCAAAACAATTGAAGATGCACCATAATAGTCACTACCAAACTGACATGTAGCTGAATGCTGGCTTGATGTGGATCCCAGATCACAATCTACCTTGAAGAAGTGAGAAGCAAAACATAAGCAGAATTGGGGACCGCTTTGCAGAACACCTACGCTTGGTTCGCACTAAACAACTGCACCTCCCAGTCGCGAACCATTTCAACTCCCCCTCCCATTCCGCAGACGACATGTCCATCCTGGGCCTCCTGCAGTGCCACAACGATGCTACCCGAAGGTTGCAGGAACAGCAACTCATATTCCGCTTGGGAACCCTGCAGCCCAATGGTATCAACGTGGATTTCACAAGCTTCAAAATCTCCCCTCCCCCTACTGCACCCCAAAACCAGCCCAGCTCATCCCCGCCTCCCTAATCTGTCCTTCCTCCCACCTCAAGCCCCACCTCCATCTCCTATCTACTAACCTCATCCCGCCCCCTTGACCTGTCCGTCCTCCCTGGACACACCTATCTCCTCTTCATCCAGCTCTACACCTTGTTATATCAGCAGAAAGTTTAACCTGTTTTGTTAGTCAGAAAACTGACAGTATTGGGTGCAATGCAGGTTTTGCACCCCACCTTATTTCACTCCCACAAAGTCAATGGAGGATAAAACAAAATCAGTTACAGTGTAAAACCTGCAGATGACCCAAACCTTTCAGCTTCTTGCCAGATTATGGTGGTTAAAATTAACCCTACAGGATCTGGTTCACATAGTACTCCAGTATGAAACCATTGAATTAAAATAGCTTTGGAGATGCATTGTTGTGTTCTTGAATAGAATATTTAAACACAGACAATAGCTCTCAAACTCAGACATATTATTTTGTGGATGTTTCCTCTTACATTTGTCATGGTCTGCTGGAGAAGCTTACGGGCATGGATCTCCTGTCCTTGACCCATAGAGACGCAGCGAGTTTCTATCTTGACTTTTTTACCCAAAGCTATGATGGAATCCGTGGGATCAGAACCCATCGACAGAAAACAAATAAGAGGAGTATGTTTATCTGATTCCTCCCAAGTCATTTCCAAGTCCAGGACGAGTCCTTCTGCATATTTTTCGCCCATTGCATCCATAATATATTTACGAGCCTAAATAACAAAGGTTAAAATTAAAAATTTGGTTGGTAAAGGGTCCTACTGCTAATCAGCTTCCACCTAACATTGCACAAGGTTACAATATTGTCTTTGTATATAAATGAAATTGAATAAAATATTCAGCTATTTAATCATTCCCCCCCCACCCCTGTCTTTAATAATAATAAGTACTTTTCACCTGCATGACCTGCAAATTAGGGAGATATGGTGGCTCAGTGGTTAGCACTGTTGCCTCACAGTGCCTAGAACCTGGGTTCAATTCCAGCCTTGGGTGACTGTCTGTATGAAGTCTGCATATTCTCTTTGTTTCTGCTGGGTGCTCTGGTTTCCTCCCACAGTCCAAAGATGTGCAAGTTAGGTGGACTGGCCATACTAAATTACCATTAGTATTTAGAGATGTGTAGGTTAGGTGCATTAACCATTGGAGATGGGTCTGGGTGGGAGGATCTTCAGAGGGTTGGTTGGACTTGTTCGGCCAAATGGCTTGTTTCCACACTGTGGGGATTCTATTTGAAAAAAAATACTGTTTTCCCTTGCATATTTTCAGTTCTCAAATTCTTCTTAAATGAATAACAATTATTACTCAATTGATTGATTTAAATATGTGTTAATGGAATGACCCACATGAAACCTGTCTCAATAAAAATAACAATGGGCAGGTAGGGATGTATTTGTGCATTTGTGTTTTGCACACCCTCTGACCCTGTCCTGTCTGCCTGTTATTGGCTTAATCAAGACCTGAGCTTCCCTTAGACTGTCTACTGACAGATAAAGTGCTGAAAGTAAAATGATAAAGAATCATGGATTCTGCTTTTGGGAGATTTCAAAACACTCATTTGCCAACCAGGTAAATTACTTGATTGGGTTTTTAAAACTCCCACTACCTGGCAGAAACCAAATCAATAGCTTTTTCCTGCTCTAATGCTGTCAACAATGACTTTAACCCCAGGAATGTGAGGCATCTGCCTTGGTCAGGATCTTGCTCAGGAAGGTTGATATGGGTCACAGGGAACCACTGGATTTTGCACTTTCCTGATCAGGGAGCTGCTTCAACAATGAATACTGTTCTGGGTCTTCAACCACTTCAATCATGCTGGCAGCAGGCTTGCTCTGCTCCAACACCATGTGAAGGAAATAGCCACTTTGAATTGATTCTGTGATTTATGTATACGTTACTCAGCCATGAAACAGTGCGTCACAGAGGAAAAATCAAATGAATGTCATGGATGAATTACAGCACCTCTGTCCTATTTCATCAAAATCTCGATTTAATTTGTTATTGAATTGAGCTAAAACATCAGTGGATTTTCTAGTCTTTCTTGCAGAAATGTATTCTGATTTATAGCATTTTTACTTTCTATCAGATGCGTAACAATTTTTTATTTGTTCATCTTGTTGCAGATTCTTGATAGCAGCTTTTTTAAAGCTAGGGAATGCAGTGAGGAAAGGCATGTTCCTTCTGGTGGTTATGCAGCGGATTACAACACACAAGCTGCATTGGGTACTACCATCATCCTTTTTACAGATGTAACCATGTAATAACTTTCCAATAATATCACTAATTATGAAATATACTGCTAATTGAAATTCACTTTCAACATCAGTGCACATAAGCTAAAAAGTAAACTGATTTGTTTAAGCAGCATGGAATCTAACATATAGCCTAATGAATTTTTATATCCTTGATAAATGATAATCAAGGCAGTAATGTCTTTTTTTAAAATGTAGAATGGTTCAGTCTTTAAACCTCAAAGATGTATAATTTACTAAAGCCTGCAGTCCTTTGCATTCTAATGTACCTGTGCAATGGTTCTATCAGGACACCAAGATCTGATCAGGAGAAGACGTCGGAAACAGTCCAAAGATTGGTCATAAGCATTTGGCAGAATCTCTTCCTCAGGAGCTTCTTTATCAAACCAGTTTTTCCAGAGTTTCTCATTTCTCCCAATCTATTGAAATAACATTGTTGTACGATTATGTAAACAAAAGAAAATTCTCATTGCAGTGTAAAAATAAACAAAGTGGAGTAGCGATCCATCAGCCCAGCAACATAAGTCCAAATCACACTAACTGTTTCCATTGAATGGACCTGGTGTCGAGTGTCGTGTCAATCACAGATTGCCTTTCCCAGGAATGGACAGTTTGCATTTTGCAGCTGGTCTCCAGTCTTGTGACATGTTGGGAGTCTGATCAACTGTCTTGACATATTAAGGTTCCTTCCCAGTTTCTTACAGTTTTCTCCAAACAGGTATTCTTCTGAATCTGGAAAGCCTCTGAAGGCGGCTTTGAAAGCTTGCCTGTCGCAAATGTGTTTCTGTACCAATCAAGGGCTTATCCACTCAAAAATATTAACTTCCCCTTGTTTCTGAATTGAATGCCAACACTCTGGCAAAATCCTCCACAGCAAGTGGTGGAATTTAAGTTCATTTAATAAATCTGGAATATAAAACTCGTCTCTCATGACCCCTCTAGTTCACTAATCGCTTTGAGGGAAAGAAATCTCACCCCTACCCAGTTTTGCCTTCATGTGACTCCAGAACCCCAGCAAGACAGCTGACACACTGGAAATAGTGTACCAAGCCACTTGGTTCAAGGGCAATCAGGGATGGGCAACAAATGTTGACCTGGCCCACAATGCCCCACTAAAAGAATAAAGAAATAATTTGAAAAACTACTCCCATGAACCACATGAAATGATCACTCCGGTCGCAGAGTCAGGACTTTGCAGAACCTAGCACCACATACCACTTGTTGCAAATATCTGCATAGATACAGGCTGTCCAGCTGTTTAAGTCAGTTAATTTGAGGAAGCAGCACTCAGTGAATCACAGTACATGTGAGCAAGATCAACAAGGAATTAGTGTTGGAGAACAATTGTAATAAAGTGTTGTCTATTCATACTTCAAATCAACTGTATCACATAAAAATTGTATACTTTTATCAAGTCTAAACATACTTGATCCAAGATATCTGCAAATTGCCCAAGTTTACGTAGTTCCACCAGGTTTAGCCAGGTCATATCCAAGATCCACTTTGCAGGTTTTGGAGGACAAGCCTTAAGGTCCAATGAAGCACCACCTGTAGTATGTAAAAGGATGCAATGTTTTATCTTACTCAAGATCATTTATACCCTTCACATATGAAAATAATTTTCTATTTAATGAGAACATTTAAGAAAGTGTGGAGACTTGTCAACACCACAACCTATAGGAAACAGGACTATTCTGCCTGGAAATCAGTAAACAAAATCATGGCTAACTAGATGTGGCTTTAACTCCACATTCCCTGCCTGAAATTGATCCATTTATCCCAGGTGAATGTTTTCTGCTAGTTAGCTAGTGCTCTATCTGTACTAATACATTACACCCAACACCACAAACTCCAATGTTATGGCTCCCTTTAAGCTGTGCGGCTGCGGTTCTGGAAGTCAATGTCGCACACAGCCCTCAGGGGCCTGTGCAGTTGGCAAGATAATTAAAGCAATGATGGTAGTAATGTTTTATATAATTATTATTCTTGACTAAATGATCCTTTACTATGAAATTCTAAAAAAACTAAAATTAATCTGCCAATAAATACAGAATGTAAGGGACAGAATTGGGAAAAAATCTAAAATGGTGTCAATACAAAGATGTGCAACTAATTCTGGCAAGGTTTAGCAGTAGTCCTCAAACACAGGCATAGCAACATACCTTAAGCCCATCAAATGCATATTCCATGCCATGCAGGAAATCCAGGACACACCTCATATCCTGGACAATCATGCGCAGGAACAGTCATTGGCTGAAGGGTTAGAGTTCTGGGTTATAGAGATTGAACAGCTTATGAATGGCACGTTTCTGAAGGTCGTCACCTCACAGCTTAAGAGAGTAAATAAGCATTGCTAAGAGATAGTAAGAACTGCAGCTGATGGAGTCAGAGATAACACAGTGTGGAGCTGGAGGAACACAGCAGGCCAGGCAGCATCAGAGGAGCAGGAAAGTTGATATTTTGGGTCAGGACTCTTCTTCAGAAATGGGAGGAGGGGGAAGGGAGCTGGGAAATATATAGAGAGAGGAGGGGTGGGGCTGGGGAAGGTAGGTGGGATGGTGATAGGTGAGTGCTGGTAGGGAGTGGTGGGGATTGGTCGGTGAGGTGGGAGGGGTGGATAGCTGGGAGAGAAGATGGACAGGTTGTGTCAGGTCAAGGAGGCGGCAATGAGTGGGAGAGTTGGTCATGGGATGAGGCCGAGGGTGGGGAGATTTTGAAACTGGTAAAATCCAAGTTTAGACCATCGGGCTATAGGCTCCCGAGGTGGAATATGAGGTGCTGCTCTTCCAGTTTGTGGGTGGTGTCAGTGTGACAGTGGAGAAGGCCCAGGATGGACATGACACCCAGGGAGTGGGAGGGGAAGTTGAAATGGTTCGCGACTGGAAGGTGCTGTCGTTTGTCGTGAACAGAGTGCAGGTGCTCTATAAAATGGTCTCCGAGCCTCCGCTTGGTCTCAGCAATGTAGAGAAGGCCACATCGGGAGCAGTGGATGCAATAGACCACATTGACTGATGTACAGGTGAACTTCTGTGTAATGTGGAAGGTTTGCTTTGGCCTTGAATGGAGGTGAGGGGTGTAGATGTAGGGGCAGGTGTAGCACTTCTTGCGGTTGCAGGGAAAGGTGCCAGGGGTGGTGGGGCTAGTGGGGAGTGTGGAGTAGATGAGGGAGTCGCGGAGAGAGTGGTCCCTACAGAAGGCAGGTAAATGTGGGAGGGAAATATATCTTTGGTTGTGGGGTTGGATTGTAGGTGGCAGAAGTGGCGGAGAATGATACGTTAGATATGGAGACTAGTGGGGTGATACATGAGGACAAGGGGGATTCTGTCTTTGTTTTTGTTGGTGGGAGGGGATGTGAGGGCAGAGGTGCAGGAAATGTAAGAGATGTGATTGAGAGAATTTTCCATCACCGAAGGGGAGAAGTTGTGGTCCTTGAAATAGGAGGACATCTGGGATGTGCGGGAGTGGAACGCCCCATCTTGGGAGCAGACACGGCAGAGGCAGAGGAATTGGGAGTAGGGGATTGCATTCCTGCAGGTAGGTGGGTGAGAGGTGGTATAGTCTAGGTAGCTATGGGAGTTGGTGGGCTTGAAATAGATGCTGGTTTCGAGGCAGTCACCAGAGATGGAGACAGAGAGGTTCAGGAAGGAGAGGGAGGTATCAGAGATGGTCCAGGTGAATTTGAGGTTGGGGTGAGAAGTGTTAGTAAAGTTGATGAACTGTTCAAGTTCCTCGTAGGAATACAAGGCAGCGCCTATACAGTTATCGATGTAGCAGAGGAAGAGGTGGGGAATAGTGCCAGTGTAACAGCGGAAGAGGATCTGTTCCACATAATACGTATTTCTAAACAGGTAAGGAGGTCAAGGCAGATAAAGCAGGAGTCACGTGAGTGCATCTCACTCCCTAATCAGTATTCAGTTCTGAACATTAGTGCAGATGATGATTTCTCTAGGGAACACAGATATAGAAAAGTACAAAGTAATGTAGGTGGCTCAGCTCTGTGGGGGTAAATGAAGGAAGAAGTTCAGGAAAGCAATAGTGATAGGGAATTCTATAATTTGAGGAACAGGTAAACTTTTTTTGAATTCATTCTTTGGGTGTGGGCATGGATTTCAGTAAAGCATTTGATAAGGTTCCCCATGGTAGGCTATTGCAGAAAATACGGAGGCATGGGATTGAGGGTGATTTAGCGGTTTGGATCAGAAATTGGCTAGCTGTAAGAAGACAGAGGGTGGTGGTTGATGGGAAATGTTCGTCCTGGAGTTCAGTTACTAGTGGTGTACCTCAAGGATCTGTTTTGGGGCCACTGCTGTTTGTCATTTTTATAAATGACCTGGATGAGGGCGTAGAAGGATGGGTTAGTAAATTTGCGGATGACACCAAATTCGGTGGAGTTGTGGATAGTGCAGAAGGATGTTGCAGGTTACAGAGGGACATAGATAAGCTGCAGAGCTGGGCTGAGAGGTGGAAAATACAGTTTAATGCGGAAAAGTGTGAGGTGATTCACTTTGGAAGGAGTAACAGGAATACAGAGTACTGGGCTAATGGTAAGATTCTTGGTAGTGTGGATGAGCAGAGAGATCTTGGTGTCCATGTGCATAGATCCCTGAAAGTTGCCACCCAGGTTGATAGGGTTGTTAAGAAGGCGTACAGTGTGTTAGGTTTTATTGGTAGAGGGATTGAGTTTCGGAGCCATGAGGTCATGTTGCAGCTGTACAAAACTCTGGTGCGGCCGCACTTGGAGTATTGCGTACAGTTCTGGTCACCGCATTATAGGAAGGATGTGGAAGCATTGGAAAGGGTGCAGAGGAGATTTACCAGGATGTTGCCTGGTATGGAGGGAAGGTCTTATGAGGAAAGGCTGAGGGTCTTGAGGCTGTTTTCGTTAGAGAGAAGGTTAGGAGGTGACTTAATAGATACATACAAGATGATCAGAGGATTAGATAGGGTGGACAGTGGGAGCCTTTTTCCTCGGATGGTGATGGCTAGCACGAGGGGACATAGCTTTAAATTGAGGGGTGATAGATATAGGACAGATGTCAGAGGTAGGTTCTTTACTCAGAGAGTAGTAAGGGCGTGGAATGCCCTGCCTGCAAAAGTAGTAGACTCGCCAACTTTAAGGGCATTTAAATGGTCATTGGATAAACATATGGATGATAATGGAATAGTTTAGGTTAGATGGGCTTCAGATTGGTTTCACAGGTCGGCGCAACATCGAGGGCCGAAGGGCCTGTACTGCGCTGTAATGTTCTATGTTCTATGGTTGACATGGCCAACATCATTGCCCTTGACTCTAGGATGGGACGTTGCCTTCCAGTTCTCAGAACTAGGGACATCAGTGAGCTGTGCAAAACATTTTGTGGAAGGAGAAGGTTTTCAAGAATGGAGAATTCTAGGAATGAGTAATAATTTGATGTGTTGAGATTATTCTCTATAGAATACCAGATGCTGAGGAGTGATTTAATTGAAGATTTTTTTTCTTTATTTGTCCATGGGATGAGGACATCACTGACCAGGCAGCATTTATTGCCCATCTCTAATTGCCCAGAGGGCAGTTAAGAGTCAACCACATTGCTGTGGGTCTGGAGTCACATGTAGGCCAGACCAGGGTAAGGATGGCAGTTTCTTTCCCTAAAGGGCATTAGTGAACCAGGCAGGTTTTTCCTGACAATTGACATTGGGTTCATGGTCATCATTAGATCCTTAATTCCAGATGTTTTACTAGATTCAAATTCCACCATCTGCCATGGTGGGATTTGAATACGGGTCCCCAGAAAGTTGTCTGGGTCTCTGGATTATAGTCCAGTGATAATACCACTAGGCCATTGCCTCCCCTAAAAATATAAAATTACTAGAAGCCTAAATAGAATGTATAAGAAAGACCTAATTTCCTTACCCAAGAGATCAATAACCAAGGGCAAAAATTTAAAGTAACTGGCAGAAGAATTAGAGAGACTTGAGAAGAAATATTTTCACAAAGATTGCAGTGATGGTGATTCTGGAACAATTCTCATTACATTTAAAAAGGATATGCACTTGTAGTAGCATAACCTGCAGAGCTACAGATTAAGAACTTGAATGAGGCGGAATAGCTTTTTTTGTAGTTGCAATTATAAGCAGCTTTGGTGAAACTATGCCTGGAATATTGTGTACTGTTCCAGTTACTTTATTTGAGGATATATTTTCCTGTAGAGAAGGTTTACCAGTTAGCAGGAGCATACTACAAGAAGAAATTGAGGACACCATGTCTGTATTGGAACAGTACAGCACAGGAACAGGCCCTTTGACCCCCAATGAACATCCTACTGCACCTGGTATGCCCAGGTAGTCTCTCATCCAAGGACTAGCCAGGCCTGAATCTGCTTAATTTCTGCTTAATCAGACAAGATCCAGTGTTTTCAGACTAGCACAGTGAAGAACAAAATGTGATCTCCTTGAAGCATACAGATTCATACTGAGCTTAACAGGTAGATGTTGGTAGAATGTATTCTCTGGTTTCAGTGTTTAGAACCCAGGGATCACAGTATCAGAATAAGAGTTAGGCCATTTAGGACTGAGTTGCAGATGAATTTCTTCACTAGAGGGTTATGAAACTTTGAAATTCTCTACCCTAAAGGGCTGTGGAGGCTTAGTCATTGAGTATGGTCAAGACGGAGATCATTACATTTCTGGATAATACAGACATCAAGCATCATGGTGATAGTGGCATGGAGGTACTTCTCAGCTATGATCCACTTGAATGGTGCAGCAGGCTAAAGGGCTGAATTGCCTACTCCTGCTTCTATTTCATATGTTCTTCTGAATGGATATGATCAGCCAAATGGCTTTTCTTCTGTGCTAAACCTTCTGCTTCCTATGTTTCTAAGTATAGTGGCTACATTGTTGAACTAGTAACTTAGAGGGTGTTCTTGAGATAGTGAGACAGTTAAACAAGTGAATTTAAATTCAGTTAATTAAATAAACATGGAATTAAAAGCCTGCATCAGTAAAGACAGTATGAAACTACAAGATCATTGTCATCTACATCACTACTACTTTTAATGGAAGAAAACATGCTGTCCTAACCCGGGCTACATATGTCTCTCGTTCAATGGAAGTGTTGTTGACTCTTAACCACTCACTGTTAATTTCAAAGAAAGCCTCACTGATTTATCCAGCAACCCTTTGACGAAAACGTTACTTGCTTTCACCATGCAGTCGATTCTAGCATTTATAATGTTGATTCCTATTTTCGAGCTGCAGTGATATAATCAAGCTGATCATACAGTCAATGATATCAAAGAATTCTTATGTATAGCTAAGCAGAACATGAAACTTACTTCTTAAATATTTTACTGACAGTAAATTGCATTTTTGGAGACACACATGAGGTGAAGTTAGAAGCCAAAAGGTATGAAAATCTTGTACAAAAACACAAACCACAGTTGCAAGACAGGCAATAACACTCCACAATTATAACATTATTTTTCCAAGGTCAACTCTGTTATCCAGCAGAGTAGCTACTCTCAAATTCAAGTTAAGATCCCTGTTGCACTTGATTGAAATAATCATTTCTAGTAAAGAGATGGGGCTGAAAAAGAGACACTATCACTGGATTTCACTTGGTGAGGTGGTGGTAGTGTGGGAGGGAGGTGGTTTCACACTTCAGCCTGTGATACAGCAATAAATGGCAGATTGCAACTTCAGGGTTTCTGCATTAATATGCACTTGAAGTAAATCCTGAGATTGCAATCAGTTTCAGCATTGTAATGATAGCAAACACAAATGTTTTGCTGTTTAATTTCCCCAAAAAATTCAGTCCTCTGTGTTTTCAGATGCTGTCACCGAAGGGCAGCATATAGATGAGAATTTTCTGCTCTTTTCAGAATCATGACATTATCTTTTACACCACCCGAGCAGGCAATGGGCCTCAGTTTGATTTTATCTAAGATTCCTCACTAATGTAGCTTTCTCTTGATGCTGCACTGAAGTGCTAGCTATGTTATATGCTCAATTCCTGGAGTGGAACATCAACCCAAAACCTCCAGACTCAGATCCTCAAATGTTACTACTGAGTGCAGCTAACATTCGAGTCATTTCTTGTTTTGCCTATTTCTGAAATATATAATTTTACTGCATATAAATACATGTGATCATGAATTATTGTTACTTTACCTTGTAATACTCAAAGGCCAATGAAGACCACAGCAAAATCAGTTGAAACAATCTCGAATTACATGATATAAATTAGTTTAAATATTTACCTTGTAGGCGGTTTACCAAATAAATATTTTAAATTAATAAATAAATATTTCTGCTGTGAAGCAATGCAAGTTTAATATTCTCACCTTTAATAAGAGTGATGAACTCTTCATGTTTCAGTCTGTGGCGCTGCATGTCAATCTTCAATGTAAGGAGTAATGTGAATAGAAACTTATGTTCCTCATACAGGCCACGGGCTGCGTACTTATATACTTCATATGTCATATGCTCTATAATAGTTGCTATTCTCTTACTGGTAATGGGACTCTTGATGGATCTGCAAGATGAGATGTGCATTCAATACACATTCAGATTTAAAAAATAACCTCCTGCTTTGTTATCCACTCATCAGCATGTTGGAAATTCTGTGTATAAGACCAATAAAGTAGCAAGATAAAAAGTTCTATACAATTTCCAGAATTTAAACAGGCAATTGGATGGAGTTGTAATATATTTTTGCATTACAAAAGAGGGGGGAATAAAAACTGCAGCAGATTGGAAAACTACAAATGTAACACTGTTACAAAAGGAAGAAGGGAGACAAAAAGCTGAAAACTATAGGGCAGTGAGCCTCACTTGTCATAGGGAAAACGCTGACATACATTATTAAGGAAGAAATGGAAGAACATTTAGAAAATTATAATGCAATTAAGCAGAATCAACATAGTTTTATGAAAGGGAAATCATATTTGGCAAATTTATTAGAGTTCTTCAGCATGTAATATGCTAGATGGATAGAAAGGAACTATTCAATAAGGTGTCAGATTAAAAGGTTATAAAAATAAGAATTCATGATGTTTCAGGGAACATTAGAGTTGGGATAAAACTGTCATCTTAAAGTAAGCAAACTGTAACTAGTGGGGCATTGCAGGGATCAGTACTGTGGTTTCAACTTCTGACAATCTGGACTAATGACTTTAATGAAAGGACCTTGAATATTGTAGCCACATTTGCTAACCATATGCAAGGCTAGGTCAGAAAACAAGTTGTGGGGAGGACACATGGGCAGATTATTACGATCACCCCACCCTGCAGTGGAGTTCGGAGTGTGGGGAGTCACCATATGAAAGGGTAAGAAGGTGGGTCTGAAATTCCATAAACGGTGATCGGAGTTGGCATGCTGATTGCGGCATTGAATTTCAGTTCTGGAAACCACTTCCATGCAGCTGGTAAGAAAATTAGAGGGAACATTGCAGGTTGGGTGTGTGGTGCTGGAACATCGATGCATCCTGTCAATTAGGGACTTAATTCCTTCAAGGCTCACAAAGATTCAGTCAGTGGTGGTATTGCCAAGACCCAGGTCCCATGTGTCAGCATGGCTGGATGTAAAAGATCCTTGGTCACTATTTTGATGAAGAGCCAAGGAGGTATTATTGGTGACCTGCCCAATTTTTGTCCCTCAATCAAGGCCATAAGAAAAAATCTGGTTATTATCACACTGATCTTTGTGGGAATTTACTGTGTACTTATTTGTTTTTATGTTTCCTGCATTACAACAGTGACTATACTTCAAAAGTGCTTGATTTGCTGAGAAGTGCTTTGAAATTTCTGGTAGTCATGAAAAGCATTACATATACGCACAATCCTATTTTGTGTTTTTTGTAATCACACCAGCATTGGTCTCCTTATCTAAAGTGGTATATACTTGCATTGAAGGCTGTCAGAAAAGGTTAACTAGTTTGATTTCTAAGAGTTTGTCTTATTAGGAAAGAGTGAGCAGGTTTGGCCAATACTCTTTGGAAACAAGGAGAAAGAGATGTGATCCTTTTCAACCACATTATACTGAGCATGCTTGATAGGGTAGATGTTGAAATGATATCTCCCTTCATGTTATGTTCTGAATTCCTGTGCAGAGGGAACACAGGTAAATGCCTTTATTAAAACAGGACAGCGAGGAAGTTAACTGAAATATTTTCTTGTTTGTGTGATAACAGTACTGAGTAATTTCCATTTGCGTTAGAATAAATTATAATCTTATTCTGCTATCTACAATTATTATTGAGATTAGATCAGGATTGTTTCTGACAGTTTTACAATTGATTATATTTTGACTGATGTGTGCACTGTCAAGATTAGTATTAATTATTTTTTTCTAAAAATAGAAGCAATTAACAAAGCCACTAGTATTTTCTGCGTGTGAAATTGAACATACATACTAAAATACTAAAATGTTCAAAAGTCATTATTAACACATAACATTTAATGAATGGATTTTCTTCAGTCTCACATGTAGAAGAAAATATACTAAAATATAATTGCAGATGCTGGAAATCTAAAACAAAAACAGAAATTGCTGGAGAAACTTAGTAGGTCTGGCAGCATCTGTGGAGAAAAAGCAGAATTAACGTTTCAAGTCCAGTGACCTTTTTCAGAACAGTTCTCTCTCCTTGTTTTCTCTCCACAGATGATGAGTTTCTCCAGCAATTTCCACTTTTGTGTATGACTGGAGGCATCTGTTATTTTCGATGAGCAGCTCCCTCCGCAAACCACGCATCATTTTGAACCAGTCCCCACAGATGCTGCCACACTTACTGAGTTTCTCAGCAATTTCTGTTGTCATTTTAGAAAGAAATATACCCTGGTACAAAATAAAATTCAATACACTACAATCAAAAGAAATATGTTCATGTATTCTTTCACTACCTGGCTAATGACAAGTCAAAAAGACCCAGGAACTGGCGTAGAGAGGTTTGGTACATAACATTCACCATGCTCATCTCAGTAATCAAAAAGTACAGGATGCTTCCTCTGGTTGCCACTATGAAGAGATTAATAAAATGAAGACAATTTATAAATGGTAGGCAAATATCCATGGCCTAACCAGTGCTGTCTTTGGTAACTACACAAGTTAGTTCTAGCCTAGTACTGTATAGATAAATGACTTTATACAAGAAATCACTCCAAATACCTCCTAAAGTATAGCGTTCAAAATTGGAAGCAATAGGAAGACTTTTCCTAATAATCCCTGCCAAACAACAGGACAAATTGTTGATTGGGAGCCCAAATGGTGCAGGATTTGGCTTTGTTTCAGCATTAGTATCCTGTCTCTGGGTACCTTGAACTATCAGAGTAGACAGACAGACGAACATGTTGAATTTGTCAAAGGTTCTCTAATTAAAAGGGATCAAGACATGGGTTACAAGAGGCAGTGGAGAGGCTGCAGTAACCATTGGAAAGGAAAAGAGACCTTGGAAGACCATTCCTATGGGTAGTGTCCTCCCCACCTTCAAATCTGCTTTCATCATCACTTCTCTCATCAGAAAAATGATTCCTGATTTCTCAGTTTCTGTAACTACCCATTTCCAACCTCTCCTTTCCTTTCAAAGTTGTTGAACATGCTGTCACTTTCTGAATCTCTACATATCCATATTTGAACCCCTCCAACTTGGCTTGTATTGAAATGTCTGCTGTCCAAAATTACAGTTACAAAGTCATAGAGTCATACAGCACGGAAACAGACACTTCGGTCCAACTGGTCCATGCAAACCAGGTTTCCTTAACTGAACTAGTCCCATTTGCCTGTGTTTAGCCCATATCCCCTTCCTCTTCATGAACCTGTTCAAATGTCTTTTAAATGTTGTGACTGTATCCCTCTCTACCACTTCCTCTGGCAGCTTGTTCCATATACACACCATTATCTATATGAAAAAGTTGCCCCTTAGGTCCCTTCTAAACCTTTCTCTTCTCACCCTAAACCTATGCCATCTGGTTTTGAACCCCTCTACCCTGGGAAAAAGACCTTGGCTATTCACCCTATCTATGGGCCTCATTATTTTATAAACCTCTATAAGGTCACCCATTAGCCTCCTACACTCCAGGGAAAAAAGTCCCAGCCATCCAGCTTATTCTTATAACTCAAACCATTCAGTCTCGGTAACATCTTGTAAATCTTACTTGCACCCTTTCCAGTTTAATAACATCCTTCCTATAACAGGGAGATCAGAACTGTATTCAGTACTCCAACAGTGGCCTCACCAATGTCTTGTACAGGTATAACATGACAAACCAATTCCTGTATTCCATGCTCTGACCAACGAAGGCAAGTGAGCCAAACGCTTCTTCACCACCTTGTTTACCTGTGACGCCACTCTCAAGGAACAATGTATTTGAACTCCTAGATCTCTCTGCTGGAAAACACTCCCCAGGGCCCTACCATTAACTGTGCAAGTCCTGCCCTGATTTGTATTACTAAAATGCAACACCTCGCATTTACCTAAATTCAACCACATTTGTCAATGCTCAGCCCATTGGCCCACTTAATTGAGATCTCATTGTATACTTAGATAACCCTTTTCACTGTCCGCTGTACCGCAAATTTTGGTGTCATCCGCAAAATTACTAATCATGCCTCCTATATTTGCATCAAGATCGTTTATATAAAAAACAAGTAACAGTGGACTCAGCACCAATTCTTGTGCACACCACTGGTCACAGGCCTCCAGTCTGAACAACAATCCTCTATCACTACCCTCTGTCTCCTACTGTGAAACCAATTTTTTATCCAATTGGCTAGCTCTCCCTGGATCCCATGTGATCTAATCTTCCTAAGCAGTCTACCATGCGGAACTTTGTCAAAGGCCTTGCTAAAGTCCATGTAGACAATCTCTACTGCTCTGCCTTCAAATTATTTGTAACTGTGACAAAGGTAGTTATCCCTTCTCAACTTATCTACACTGCTTGACACAGTTAGCCATACCATCTTCCTTTAATACCTCTGCATTATCTAGTTAGATTCCATTGTCCATTGAAATGGAGCCAAAAGTATCACATGCTTTTCTTCCCACTCTCACACTAATACCTCTGGTACTCCCCAAGCAGCCATTCTTGGCTCCCATTCTAGATTTTGCTTTTGTTAGCCTTCAGAAATTGCAATCTCATCCAACACAACAACCATGCTGGTGACTCTCAGCACTATCTCACCACCTCTCCATGGATCAGTGCTCAGTCTTTGATGAGTAATTCTGTTTGTCCAATATCCAATCCAACATGAGCACCTCCTCCCACTCTGGTTATACTCTCTTCTACCCTCTTCTGTTGGACAGAAGATATAAAAGTTTGAAATATACTGTCAACAGATTCAAGTACAGCTTCTTCCCCACTGTTATCAGACTTTTGAACGGACCCCTCAAATGTTAATATTGATTTTTCTGCGCCTTCTCTGTGGCTGTAACAATGTAGTCTGCATTCTGTTTTGCCACCCTGATACACTTTGTATGGTACAATCTGCCTGTATAGCATGCAAAACAATACTTTTCACTGTATCTTGGTACATATGACAACAATAAATCAATCCAAATTTTTCTCCAACTAAGTGCCACAATGACTGAGTCATTGATCCAAATGTTCCAATAGCAAGAGAGGTCTCCAATGGAACTTATATCTCTGATGTGTGTCAGGATCCCAAATGAAGTTCCAACATGCACACATCCATGATACTTACATGGGAAAGTTAAACTTCTGATTGCTGGCTTTGCTTTGTCTGAATGACTCTGTGATTCTAATGACAACGGGACCAGATGTAAAGGTCCATATCCAAGGTGGCTCAGGCTGTCTGTCCTTTATTTACCAGTTTCGAGCATGAGTTTACTTAGAGTTTTCATAGCAGATATAAAGTCAGAGTGACTCTTGGTATATCAGTTGTAGAATTAAAACACACCAACTCCCCCAGCAATGGTCATTCCCCATCAGGCAATGTTCATTCACAATTTTCACTCTCTGTCTCAGCAATATTTATTTCCAATCTCATTGAAATGCTGATTCCCTCACACCCGTTTTGGCAATGATCACGCTCTCCCTTCACCCATGGATAATCCTCTACTCTCCTCCTTGCAGACAGTGCTGACCCCTCTACAACCCCCTTTCCTCACTCACCTTCCAGAAACTAGCACCCCAATGCAGCCTATGTCAGAAGAGTCAGCATTGACACTAAGTGCATGGGGCAGGTGTTGGGGGCAGACGTTGAGCATTTTTGCGAGTTGAGGGTAAGGTCAACATTTTCAGGGCTCTGAACATTGGTGGGGTGAAGGGACAGTGAACATCACAAAGCATGACGAAAAAGTGAGTATTGTTGGGGGGGAGTCAGTGTTGTTGGGATCAGGGAGACAGGTATCATGCTTGGTTAAATGAGGTTTGCAGTGTTGGGATTGACAACTCCATTTAAAACAATGTAAGTCAATGAACTGAAGATAGACCTTAAGGGGACTGAGTTCAGTTCATGATTAGAAAAAGGATTTCCATTCACTACTCTGGCCTCCATACTGCAGCCGACATGGCAACTTGGAAATATTCAGTGCAAAATGGCAAATGCAGATGAAATCACTGCCAGCATCAAGGGCTCATCCTCCAATGCTGACCAGAAGGTACAAGCCATTGTCTTTGCGTACCCCACAATCGTTGGTTCCTGGCAACCATTTCCATCATTGACAAACATGAACAAGACCATTCGTAATTTTGGTGTCATGTCTGACCCCAAGTTGTGTTTCCATACATCTATCTATACTATTATCAAGACAGCATATTTCCATTTTCACAAGATCTCTAACTCTGCCTCTGTTGATGAAATTCGCCAACCTTCTCAAAAATTAATTGCAGGGATATGAGATCACCAGCAAGCTTAACTCTTGTTGCCCATCATTAATTTATTTCATTCACTTGTGGGAAGTTATCCCTGAGAAGGTGGCAGTGAATTGCTGCAGTCCATGTGTTGAAGGTATACAAACAATGCTGTTAGGGAGGAAATTCCAGAAACCTGACTCAATGACACTGAGGAACGGCCATATATTTTCAAGTCAGGATGGTGAGTGGCTTGAAGATGGTGGTGTTCCCATATATCTACTGCCCTTGTCCTTCTAAATTGTAGTGGTCGTGGCACAGTGGCTCAGTGGTTAGCATTGCTGCCTCACAGCACCATGGCCCGGGTTCAATTCTACCCTTGGGCAACTGTCTGTGTTCAGTTTGCATGTTTTCCCCATGTCTGTGTGGGTTTCTGCCAGGCACTCCGGTTTCCTCTCACAGTCCAAAGATGTACAAGTCAGGTGGAATAGCAATGCTGTTGATAGTGTTCAAGGATGTGCAGGTTAGGTCCATTAGCCATGGGAAAAGCAGGGATAAGGGGAAAGGGTAGGGGGATGGGTCTGGGTGGGATGCTCTTCGGAGGGTTGGTGTGAACTTGTTGGGTCGAATGGCCTGTTTCCATACTGTATGGATTCTATGGTTATGCGTCTAGGAGGTACTGTCTAAGGAGCCTTGGTGAATTTCTGCAATTCATCTTGTAGATCGTCCACACTGCTGCCACTGAGCATCAGTAGTGGAGGGAGTGAATGTTTGCGAATGTGGTACCAATCAAGCAGGCTGCTTTGTCCTGGATAGTGTCAAGCTTCTTGAGTGTTGTTGGAGCTGCACTCATCCAGGCAAGCATGAAGTATTCCATCATACTTTCACTTTTATGCAAGTATAAATGATAAATATGGGTTATTGTCATTGATAAAAATTTCTGCAACTGAATAGAAGAGGCTGAGGCCAAGGTTATAAAGATGAATGAAAATATTTTTTGTGACAAATCAGGTATCAGAGTTAGATAGTTCAATATGACAAACTTCTGCACTTTAAGCCAGAAGTGGCAGCCAGTGAGGTTAATGGATTTGAAACTTCTGCATAAACATTTATGGTACCTGCAGAAAAAGCAAGTAAGAAAATCTCTCTCCCACTGCAACTCTCTCGTAATCTCTTCGGCCTTGAAATTGCTCAACCATGTCCTGAAGCAAACCAGGTACTACAGCCACATCACCTTTCTTAGCACCTGCCTACGGAACTAGATCATCCCCAATGGACTACAGTCCACATTCAGGCCTTCCCAATTTGGCCCCAACCGTGACAATATCTACATTCATAGCACTGAGATCCTTCAGAAGCGTTTCTCCCTGCGACTCCTGAAACACACACTCGCAGCAATGCGCCGGCATCTCCGGGCACTACAATCAAGCCTACCCCAGCTCAGAGCCTCCCTCTCCCAGGCCTGCAAAGGACCTCTCCTGTTTTTTATTCTTCGTAGGATCCACAACCTGAACTCACAATTCTACTCAGCTTTATTGGATACTAAAAACCGTAAGTACAGTAAACTTACTGGTGCCTACCACCCAAAACGGGCTTCCTCCACCCCCCCCAAATCCCCAACCCTACCCAGGACCTTCCCCACAATGTGCCCACCGCCATTGGCCATGAGGCCACTGTCGGAGAACCACAGATGATGTCACATCCGCCACCGCCAGGTACCCCACTTCCGGGACAGCGAACGCCATCGCTGCCAATGCCACCGCCTCCATTTCCGAGACCAACACCACCGACACTGAAGACGCGCCTACCGTCACCGCTGCTGCCGCCGCCTACCCCGCTCCCCCCACCGCCAACGCCACTCCGCCCAACACCGACGCGGACGCTACTCTACCCACCGCTGACGCTGACACAACTCCGCCCACCGCTGACGCAACTCCGCCCACCGCCGACGCCGACGTCGCTCCGCCCACAGCCTCCACAGCCAGCAGCTCCAGAGGGGAGAATAGCACCCAGCCCTGCCGAGTCTTCACCATCTCCCCAGACCTACCCCTTACTGAGGACGAACGGTCAGTCCTCAGTAAAGGGCTCACCTTTGTCCCCCTCCACCCACACATCAACGAATACCGGTCACGTTTGGACATAGCGCAGTTTTTCTGCCGCCTCCGCTTCCACGCTTACTTCTTCAACCGTGAACCTAACCCTCCCTTTCCTACCCCATCTCCCGCCTCCAATACACCCCATCCTCCTGGACACCACCCCAAGGCCTCCTACCCTCCCTCGACCTCTTCATCTCCAACTGCCATCGAGACATCAATCGCCTCAACCTCTCCACCCCTCTCACCCACTCCAACCTCTCCCCCGCAGAACGTGCAGCCCTCCGCTCCAACCCCAACCTCACCATAAAACCTGCGGACAAGGGAGGCGCAGTTGTAGTATGGCGCACTGACCTCTACATCGCCGAGGCCAGACGCCAACTCTCCAACACCTCCTCCTACCGCCCCCTTGATCATGACCCCACCCCCGAGCACTAAACCATCATCTCCCAAACCATCCACAATCTCATCACCTCAGGTGACCTCCCACCCACGGCCTCCAACCTCATCGTTCCCCAACCCCGCACTGCCCGCTTCTATCTCCTTTCCAAAATCCACAAACCTGAATGCCCTGGTCGACCCATTGTCTCCGCCTGCTCCTGCCCCACCGAACTGATCTCCAACTATCTGGACTCCATTTTCTCCCCCTTGGTCCAGGAACTCCCTACCTACGTCCGTGACACCACGCACGCCCTCCACCTCCTCCAGAACTTCCAATTCCCCGGTCCCCAACACCTCATCTTTACCATGGACGTCCAGTCCCTAAACACCTGCATTCCCCATACAGATGGCCTAAAGGCCCTCCGCTTCTTACTGTCCCGCAGGCCCGACCAGTCCCCCTCCACTGACACCCTCATCCACTTGGCCGAACTCGTCCTCACACTCAACAACTTCTCTTTCAATTCCTCCCACTTCCTACAGACAAAGGGGGTAGCCATGGGTACCCGCATGGGCCCAAGCTATCCCTGCCTCTTTGTAGGTTACGTGGAACAATCCCTCTTCCGTACCTACACTGGCCCTAAACCACACCTCTTCCTCCGTTACATTGATGACTGTATTGGCGCCGCCTCGTGCTCCCACGAGGAGCTCGAACAGTTCATCCACTTCACCAACAACTTCCACCCCAACCTTAAGTTCACCTGGACCATCTCTAATACCTCTCTCCCCTTCCTGGACCTCTCTGTCTCCATCTCGGGCAACCACCTAGAAACCAATATCCATTTCAAGCCCACCGACTCCCACAGCTACCTAGAATACACCTCCTCCCACCCACCTTCCTGCAAAAATGCCATCCCCTATTCCCAATTCCTTCGCCTCCGCCGCATCTGTTTCCAGGATGAGGCATTCCACTCCCGTACATCTCAGATGTCCCCGTTTTCCAAGGACCGCAACTTCCCCCCCTCAGTGGTCGAGAACGCCCTCAACCGTGTCTCCCACATCTCCCGCAACTCATCCCTCACACCCCATCCACGCAATAAGAACCACCCCACCAACCTCCGGATCCAACGCATCATCCTCCGACACTTCCGCCATCTGCAATCCGACTCCACCACCAAAGACATCTTTCCCTCCCCACCCTTATCTGCTTTCCGGAGGGACCACTCTCTCCGTGACTCCCTTGTCCGCTCCACACTCCCCTCCAACGCCACCACACCCGGCACTTTTTCCTGCAACCGCAGGAAGTGCTTCACCTGCCCCCATACCTCCTCCCTCACCCCCATCCCAGGCCCCAAGAAGACTTTCCACATCAAGCAGATGTTCACCTGCACATCTGCCAATGTGGTATACTGCATCCGCTGTACCCGTTGTGGCCTCCTCTACATCGGGGAAACCAAGCGGAGGCTCGGGGACCGCTTTGCAGAACACCTACGCTCGGTTCGCAATAAACAACTGCACCTCCCAGTCGTGAACCATTTCAACTCCCCCTCCCATTCCTCAGATGACATGTCCATCCTGGGCCTCCTGCAGTGCCACAACGATGCCACCCGAAGGTTGCAGGAACAGCAACTCATATTCCGCTTCGGAACCCTGCAGCCCAATGGTATCAATGTGGATTTCACAAGCTTCAAAATCTCCCCTCCCCCTACTGCATCCCAAAACCAGCCCAGCTCGTCCCCGGCTCCCTAACCTGTTCTTCCTCCCACCTATCCCCTCCTCCCACCTCAAGCCGCACCCCCATCTCCTACCTACTAACCTCAACCCACCCCCTTGACCTGTCCGTCCTCCCTGGACTGACCTATCCCCTCCCTAACTCCCCACCTACACTCACCTTTACTGGCTCCATCCCCGCCTCTTCGACCTGTCTGTTTCCTCTCCACCTATCTTCTCCTCTATCCATCTTCTATCCGCCTCCCCCTCTCTCCCTATTTATTTCAGAACCCCCTTCCCCTCCCCCATTTCTGATGAAGGATCTAGGCCCGAAATGTCAGCCTTTCTGCTCCTATGATGCTGCTTGGCCTGCTCTGTTCATCCAGCTCTGCACCTTGTTGTCTAAGAATAGCCTTTGGAGTCAATGGAAGAGGTGAGAAACAGAGCAGAATGTTACTGGTTTGCATTTGAAAACTGAGGTACCTTAGAATCCCAAAACACCATATATAGGCTTTACAAACAATGTTGTAAAATTTTTAGCACGTACTGAAAACTCCAGTAGGAACCCAGTTATGAATACAGATAATCTGAGAACTTTGGTTAAGATTCTAAGAACGTAAACATAAAATAATTAACATTGCTTTCAAATGACAGGGTCAGATTTCGCCACAGAGATAATTATGATGCTGGAACGCTCACCATTATTTACGTGGAAATGAATGGAATGTTACCTTTGGCAATATTCACAAGCAATGAAGTATAGAATTTCAGAAGCATCTGAAATGCAATGTGAGATGTGATAATAGCACCTTGCCAACTATACACTGAATGATTAAGGCTTGTCATTACAGTGTAATTACCTTTATAAGGTCTGAGAAGTCTTAATTATTGTCAAATGATTTCTTTGTTTCTACAACTTAACTTTTATGATCTTGTTCCTTCACATATTAATATTGTCGGAGATGTACAGAAACTTAAAGTTTCAACGAAGTATTTTTTATTTTGAAACCTTCTCTTAGTGCAATCTTCCTTTCTTCTCTTTTTGTCTTTTGTACCTGATTTAGTATTGAATTAACATTTTAATTGATGCTGCCTGCTTTGGATTCTGCAGTGCTAATGAATGACTCTTCCAACTTATTGTTTAAAACATATACCGTTGTCATTCATACAGGTTCTAGGTGTTTCATAGAGGAAGTTGTGCTTTTTGGAACCTCCACACAAAAGTCTATGTTCAAGGGGAAGTGTGACAAATGGTTGCCACTGTTCATTTGCCAAATCAACAGACAGAAATGTGGCCCAATATTTCATCCCATTTGTAACAATGTATCCTCACCCGGTCTGTACTCCTCACGAGCAGCATTAATCTGTATTTCTGTTTCAGCAGCTATGTGCAGTTTCTGTGTAACCTCCTCAGATGTCTTTTTTGTATTGTTCAGAACAGTGATAAGGCTTTCATCCTCTACAAGGGAGCCCTTTGTGCTTGTCAGACGATACAGTAGATTGTCTTCCAACTCTTTCATTTTCCTTTTATTTGATGTTACATCTTCCATGAGATCTGTTCTCTCTTTTTCCAGTTCCTATTTCCAAAAAGCATACACCTTTATGTGAATATTTTCCACGAGCATTGGCTAAGTACAGTATATTAATAAACTGAGATTCACTGTATCACAGAATGCAATTGGGATTAGATACCATCCACAAGATGTACTGCAGCAGCTCATCAGGATTCCGTTGACAGCACCTTCCAAACCTGTGACCTCTACCACCTGGGAGAACAAGTACATCAAATGCATGGAGACATCATCATTTGCAAATTACCTCCAGGTCACATACCAACCAGACTTGGAACTACATTGCTATTCTTTCACTGTCACTGGGTCATAACTTTGGAATTCCCTTCCTCACAGCACCAAGCACACCACATGAACTGTGGCAATTCAAGGCGGCAGGTTACTGCCACCTTCTCAGGGCAATTAGCCAGAGCCAGTCATATCCCAAGAGTGAATAAAAACCAGGATGAAGTTTGGAAGCTGTTAAAGGAGCTTGGACGAGCTTCATGCAGTTCTTTCAAAAGCAAACACATACTGCTGCCATTGTTCATTGGTGGTGGAGGGTGGGAAATGGTGGAGGGTGGGAAATGATATTGCATGGGGTACTGATCAAGCAGCTGCTTTGTCCTGAATGGTGTTGAGCTTCTTTAGAGTTGTTGGAGCTGCATTTATTTAGCCATTCCTGACTTGTATGTTTCAAATGTCAGCAGGCCTTAAGGAGTCAGGGGTTACATTACTCACCATAAAATTCCCAGCCTCTGCTCTGTTTTTATAGACATACATTTACACAGCAAGGGCTAGATACATTTCTGGTCAAAGGGAACACCAAGCTACTGATTTTGGGAATTTCAGCAAGTGTAATGCCATTTAATGTCAAGGGGAAATGAATTTGTTTTTCACTTTGCAGGTGGTGTTATGCTTACAACCTATGCTACTGAACACATAAGGAAAATGTGCAATTCGCTTTCAAAATGTCAGCATCAAATATGAACATTTTGCCTGGACCCAAGATGTAATTCAGGTTGTAGTCAGGCAACTTTTGAGTCTTGTACTGACACATGGACAGACATGTCTCAGCACGTCTCTGGGAATTTACTTACAGTGCCAAGTACCAACCCTAGGTGTTGAGGATCATCCAACTCCACCTCAATTGAAGAGGCTGGTTTAGTGTGGGTAGAATTTATTAATCTGACCAGGAATACATTGGAATCATCATGTCTGGCGATAACAAATGATTCATGATAACAAATGAGAGACGATTCCAGGACCTAATGACCTTAGGTAGGGACAACATTGTTTTTTTGGACGTTAGCCAATTTCCCATCTATAATCTCCATTAATATACTTGCTTTTTCAGAGGGAAGTTTGAAAGCAATGCACGTGAGCCTTTTACAATTGTCAGGGTCATGAATTCATATCTTGAGCAACTCCCAGGACTATATATGCCTTTAATGTTAAACACATCCAACATTTTTAGTTTATACGTGTTCTAACAATGAAGCAAGTACTGAGATGCCACAAAACAAGATTACAACTTGAAAGGAACAAAAATACCTGTTTTTCAGTTAGAATGACTCTACCAAGTAACTGGTCCTCCAGACCTTTCATGGTAACAGTAAAATCAATGATAGAAGTTCGAGCACTGATCTCAGGTGTATACGCAGGGTTGGGAAGCTTAGTAGTGATGTAGAGTCTGAATCCATTCATGATATCAATCTCTTTATCACCCACTTTCACCTGTTGAAATAACCTTTGTAAATAAATAAATTTTCATATATAGACCTTAATTACATGATGAGCAAATTTTTCGGCCTTCATTCTAGTTGTCAATAGTATATATTTCCTTTCCTTGAAAATGAGAAATGTGACACTAATTCTTTTATGTTGGAATTAGAATCCCCTAAAAACTGATTTTTTCCGTATGAAATCTTGTTTAACTGCAGTCAATTGCTTTCTCTGAACATAAACAACTTCTAATAAGAAAAAAGAAAGATGACAATAAATTCCACTGTCCACACTATTCCATAAGCTGATGTCAAAGAACTATATGACTCCATAGGTACCCTATTATCAATGGAATGTTTAGGAAAATAGAAGTTTTGTTTTCCCAAAGCAAATAAAAACAGACTTTCAAGTGAAGGTGGGCAAATGGGGAATGGTTTTCCCAATGTCATGAACAGCTATCCTGTGTTCATTGGCTACAGGGAGTCAAATGGGTGATTGACACAGCACACATTCCCAGAAATAGGGCTTATTAGCCAGTGCTCAGGATCAGAGGGCAGTCCTAGTCAGGCAGCCCTTACAGGAGGTAGCTGTTGTCAGGGACCTGTCTTCTTCAGACGGAAGATGGACCACAAGTGATTGAAAGAAAATTGAGAGAAGAGTTCCCTAACGTTTTGGCTAGTGAGCCAAACTTCCTTCAAAATTTAATGAGATTGACACGGTCTGTGTCAACTGCCTATGAGTCCTCTGATATCAGTAAACTATCCTGAGTTGGCTGTATACGTTTTTGTCTAATTGGCTAATGCATTATATTTAAATTGCTGCTGCTTAACAAACGTAATAAACTATCTGAAAATTCCTTACAAACGGCTGACTGCCTATATAATTGTAGTGATGAATGCCCAAAGTCTAAACTGGTGCAAGTTTTCAAACCTGCTACCAAGACTCCCAAAGACTTTCTGATTTGCAGAAGTCTGGGGAAAGCCTTTAGGGCAGCATTCACAACTGGTATCCCTCTAATGTAATGCCCAATGCATGAAATGCAGTGAGAATGAGGTGGTGAATTTCCCTCTCACTGCCCATACAGAAGTTTCTCCTTCCTCACTAAACTCATGCAAGAGACCAGTCCATTTTTTTTCTGCCAAGTTCCTGCTGTTTTGAGACAGTCAGGTAGTATATGACCTGGTTGTTGCAGAAGTGGCTGTAAGCAGATGAAAGGACACTGGGGTGGCACGGTGGATCAGTGGTTAGCACTGCTGCCTCACAGCGCCAGTGACCCAGGTTTGCTTCCACCCTTGGGCGACTGTTTGTGTGGAGTTTGCACGTTCTCCCTGTCTCTGCATAGGTTTCCTCCTCCAGATCCTCCAGTTTCCTCCCACAGTCCAAAGATGTGCAGGCTAGGTGGTTTGGCCATGCTAAATTGCCCATAGTGTTCAGGAATGTGTAGATTAGGTGGGTTATAGGGGGATGGGTCTGGGTGGGATGCTCTGAGAGTCGGTGTGGACTTGTTGGATTCAAGAGCCTGTTTCCACAATGGAGGAATTCTATGATCTAAGTCTTCACTCTCTCCATTTTACCACAATAGTTTGTGTAATGAAGGCTTTTGAAATGGCCAAGGCCTCTGATAGATAATTCAACCTAAACTTCAGGACAATGTAACTCTTTAAATGTTTTTTCTGAAGTCTATAGAAACGGGTGCAATGTAGCAGCACCTTCACCCTTCCAGGGACATTGCAAGATCACATTTGCTGATGGAAATCCTGCAAACAGGTAGCCATAGGTAAACAAAAAAATTGCCATCAGCCAGGACCGGAAGTAGGGTCATGCCAGAGTTAAGGTGATGGGTGAATGTATGAATGAGGGAAAATTAGCATTATATATTAAAAATTTCTTGTTTTATTATTAAAAGCTATGTAGTATAATAACAATAAGCTGTACCAAATAAAATTTCAATGGATATTTTTACAAATATTTATTTTAATTTCCATTTTTATGTAGTGCCTTCCTTGATCACTGGACATTCCAAAGCACACTGCAACCATGCGTAGTCTGATTGGTTAAGGAGTGAGCACTATTTTATGAAAAATGAAAAGAACATCACGAACAGCCATTATCACTGTAAACAGTGTAAACGAAGAAATCAATGTGAAGCAAAAATACCAAGAAATGTGTCTATATTTGTCTTTGTTTTGAAGTTAATAAACAGTGTGAGATGAATTAAAAAGGCAAGAAAAAGTATATACATGGGTTTTGTAGGTAGGTGCACTACATGGCTTTCAAATGTGAGTTCAATGAACATAAAAAGTCAGAAAACCTGGAATAATTAATTTTGGTTGGAGCAACTACAAAATCAGTGGAGATCCAGTCACCATTCATGCTTGTTAGATTCTCGAAGTTTAAGGAGATATGACTGAAATGAGGACTCCTAAACGTTTCTGCATTATAGCCATCGGTTGAGATCTCACTAGGTATGGCAAGTTGACAATGGATCTTTGATCCCAGCTGGATTGCAACATAAGCTCTGACATATCAGTTACAGGAACAGAAATGCTTTAAAAATGATTTGATGGAAACCATATACAAGACAATCAGACTAGAATTGTAAAGGAAGTGGTAGCTGTAATGTTCTTTCCCCTCACTGGGGATTTGTCACTTTTCCTAGACTGGTTCCTGGAAGCAGTGGTAAGCAAAATAGTGGAGAAAGAATTCACATAGTAACAAGAGCATGACTTTTCCGATTATGTTACTTGTCACAGATGAGGAAGGAATTGTCCATTGAGGCTCTGCAAAGACTGGAACCAGAGTGTTTGTCCTTGGGGCAGTGATGTCAAGGAAGGTGAAAAGGGAAAAAGGGACAGTATAGGTTTTCAGGTAATCACAAGTACATACCTCAGTTAGGGGAGATACTTACAACTAGAAGATGTGAGCATGTTATGATATGATTGGATAATATAATCATGTATGCTAGTTTGATTATGATTGGATAACATAGTTATGGGCACTAACCTGGAATGCAGACTACGTGAACACTATTGGATAGGGATATGGGTGAGTAATTTTGTAAGGTTTTGATTGGAAATTATCTGAAGGACTAGCTGATTAGAGCCTTTTATTGGTAGAAATAGTATGAAACCTTAGCTTGTGTAATAAAATTTGAAATGTATGCCATCCTTTGATAAGTATGCCTTTCATGCATGCACGAATAAACATTTCAACAAAGAAATCTGAGTCTCGCCTGGTCTAAGAAGGAATAAACGGTTAAGAAGACACTTTAAGAAGGGCTCCCTACTTATTTTTTCCCCACTATTTGCAGCAATTGCAAATAAACATTTTTGCTATCATATTTGAAACAATTAGACGTGGTCCTAAGTAAATAATATTAGCTCAGTGTGCAAGTATAACTGTTGTCATGAGATTGTTATTCATATGGGATAAATAATTAGAGCAGCTTTGCAGACACATTTTGTTTCTATTTATTTTTGCTCAAAACCTGTACAATTTTGAAAACTTGATAAACAGAAACAAATGACCCTGTAGCAAATAACTTTCTATTCTAGAGAATGGATGTGCTGTCTATCTTGTGTTGAAGACACTTTGCTCCATAGCTATGCAGTAAAATCTTTAGTGATTAAAATAATGCAAATTACATGCTAATGTTAACAAAGTCACATTTGTTCACATTTTAATTCAAAGCGCTAAAGAAAATTTAGGGTTTAGAGAGCAAGTACCCAAGTCACTAAAAAATAAATTACTTCATGACAAATGTGACAATTTAATACAAGACATTTTTACAAACATTTGTTGTACAGCAATAGATTTTTAAGCTCTCCATTTATGCCAGCCAAAACAACCTAGCCAATGCTATATTTTTAAATCTTGTGATTCTCACTTAGATCACTGCTCTTTCAGAATTTTCTAATTTTAGATACATCATGAACACGGAAATGCATACAACTGAAATTCATGGTTTCAGATATGCCACATTATATTTCCCTAACTTCATCTAATTGTTATCATTAAATACTCTCCTAGGAGGGAATACTGACAGAAATGTTATTAAAAATCAGTTACTGAGTGGTTGTACCTTTGGGCTTTACACTTCATTTAACTCTAGAGAAAGAACAGCTTTTATTTACTTTTTAATAACTTCTATTATTGAATCAGCTAAAACCTATCTTTCTACGTGAATGCTAAAGAAGTACATGATATTATAATATTGTGAATAAATTACTTGATTTCTGTATTTTATTTATCTACCAGCACTTTCCAAAGTGGAGTTCCCAAAGCCTAAAAGGAATGGGAGTGAATCACAGGAGCATGAGAAATCTTCAGATTTCAAAATGCCTACAGTCATATTTTTCTGTTTTCTATTCCTGTGTACGAATACAATATACTTTTTAGGAATAAGAGCATTGTTCCTGTTAGACAAAGAAAGAGATAGTACTTCTCACATCCTCAGGATATTCCAATGTGCTTTTCAGTCAATGAATTGCTATTGAAGTGTAAATGCCAATACTTAATAAGCAAACACAACTTCTGAGCCAATGCACCGAGCTAAATGAACAGATAATGGTGCTGCAGGATCTTTGGAGGGGTCTGTGATTACAAGGCTGAGGCTGAGACTCTCAGTGACAAATGTGACCTGCATTGCTTTCTATAATCTTGGGACCCATAAGTGTGAAATGCACCATACGACCATGCAATCACACCCGGAGTTTGTGGAGTCAGTTTTTTTTCTGTCTGAGCACATGGGCTCTACTAGTGAGTAATGTGAGGCCCTTCAGAGGGCACTTTCACAGTCAAGGTTGAAGTCATCAGTAATCATATCACCCTGCGTGAGAAATGCAAGCAGTGTACAACTGTGGGGTGCAAATGATGGTCACTTGCAATCTTGATCATGTAAGTGCTGATTGCTCATAAGACTAAGGATTTGTTCTGTTCCTTATGTTCCCCATACAGGTTCATTGGAAGCATGACCAACGGATCCAGCCATAGCAGGAGTTTTTGTCTTCCTGTTGTGGCGCAACTATGCTGCAGAGAAATGGAGGAAGAACAGATGCACCAGCAAGTCCAGTGCCAGCAGCAACCTCTACTGAACCCTTAACAGTCTCCACATGAAGAGGCACAACTGAAGGTCCCCTCAGGGTGCGCAGGAGCTTCAGGAGTCCCAAAGTCTATCATCAATGCCATTTTCTCCAGATGAACAAGGAACATTGGTGCCACAGACTGCTGATGTCCCAGGACTTCATCACAGAAGAATACCAACTACCAGAGTAGGACTTCTGTCTTGAAAGAATAGGTGGCCATCCTATTCTGGTGGTTATCAAGGTGACCACTGCACTGAACTTTTGTGCAAAAGTAAGAGTCACTGGGAACCAATGTGAGATCTCACAAGTCTCAACACAAATGAATGAAGGCAGTGACCAATGCAATTTGTGCCAGATCACACACGGTTTCACCTCATCGCCTGAGCCCATGGTGAAGTCAGTTCTGCAGTCCAAGCAGTCGGCTTTGACAAGAATGCTGGCTTTCCCCAGAAGCTGGACACCTTAGAGAGTTATACACATTACACTGAAAATGTCGTATCATAATGCAGTTGGCTTTATCCATGGAAATGGCTTCAAGTCCATGAATGTGAAACTCATCTATAAGCACAAGTTACCAAACTTGGGAATTCTGCACCAGGTACCCTAGGAACTGCCATGATGCCTATATCCCTGAGAAATCTCATGCTCTTGCTTCATTTTAAGGCTCAGATCCTTCCAAGGATGGTGACTGAGAAACAAAAGCTACACTCTGCAGCCTCAGCTGATGACTCTATTGTGCAACCCACTATCTGAAGATGACCATAAATACAATGCAGCCCACTGTTCCACCAGGGCCATGGTGGAGCAGCCGACAGGTCTGCTGAAGATGAAGTTATGATGTTTGGTTCGGTCTGGAGTTGGAGGATTTGGAAGAGGAGTGGGGTGTGTGTGCCTTGCATGACATCCCGGTCAGAGTCAGCAGTATAATCCTAGCATGCTGTGCTCTGCACAACTGGAGTGGGAAAAGAAAAGGGACATGATGGATTTTGAAGAGCTGGAAAGCAGCTGCAGCCTTCCAAGGAAAAAGATGAGGAGATTGAGTAGGAGGAACATCACCTCCTGTATGATACAGCGCAGCAGTGTCAAATACAACAAGCCAGAACCTGTCTGTATCAAGAGACAAATGTAGCTTCTGTTTGTTTTTTTATTTGATTTTGCTGTTCTGAATAAAGGTGAATGTTCTGAAATGTTTGAAGCTTTCAAGTACATAATGGTACCACATTGAACAATCAGATATTTGGCGACAATGGGCATTGGTGGAACAGTAGCTCTCCCTTAGACAGGTGGGATGAAGCTAAGTATAGGAAAGCTTATGGCTTGGTTCTTAAATGCTCTAAGTATAAGAATGTATGTGCAATGAATTGTCAGCTGTGCAACCTACATGCCCTGAGAAGTGTTGGCTTGTGGTTACTGTGTAACTATGTCTACGGTGAAAGGCAACTCCAGACTACCAGCTCTTGACCAGGTACACGGCTGGGCTTCAAAGATGCTGCTGGCACCAGGAATCCCAGGACATCCCAGCACTGGTGAGTACATCTGCCTATGATGAGTTGGAGAATGTAATGAGCAGGGTGCCACAGGGCTCAGTGTATAGGTAATGAGATGAGTTTGGGAATTTATTTCTCTCAGACAGAAACCCTCCATGAAACTTGTCAAAATTAACACTTAGCGAATTCCTTATAAAAGTTAGCCTAATGCTTTTGTTATCAAAAATATTTTTTATGAATACACAGGAACAGAAAAAGTAGAAAATCGAACCATAGTCAATCTGAAATTTGGAAACCTCTTACACTGCTGTTAGTCACTCACATGTCTTTAACTCTTTGTAATTTCAGTTTGAATAGCTAAGATATTTACATAGAAATCAAATAATTTAGCCACATTACAAAGTATTGAGTACCAATTTTGTTAATATTTCAAAGGATAGACTTAAGCTGATTGCATTGGAAGACTGACATCTTTCTCCTAGCTCTCAGGATCCTGGCACAAAGATGGTGTTCTTTTCCTAAGACTGTGGACCTCTTGTTTTGTGGGCCATACACTGCGCAACTTTGTAAGAACACTGCAACCCAGGCTATTCACCTGATGAGATATTGTGCATAGAGCAAAAGAATGGCAACATAACCTACCTTTAAAATTATTACTGCTAGTCTCTGAATTATTTTGGATTCTCCCACAGCATCCATGGGTTTATATATGCAAGCAGTATTTTGGGCCATTGTTAGTGGTATGGGAGGAATTAAATGAGCAGGTATTGCATCTCCTATAGTTACATGTGAAAGTGCGTGAAAAGAGTACATGAAAGTAGAGGATGTGGAATAATGCACAAAAACATAGATATTCTTAGCTACATGTCACAACAATCCAAATTTTACTCCAGATAACAATGTTGACTGGAATGAGAAACTCCATCTGACTGCACATTTTTGCTGTTTAGGTCTACATAAATCTTGGCATTGAAATCCAAGATTAATATCAGTTTACCTTGTACATGGAACCAGTTTTGATGAAATTTTTCTCCAAAACATTATCCAGTGCTGGATCCAGCTCCTCTCCTACATCTTCAATAAGCAATGGTCTGCCAAGAGACAGGCTATCCTCGAGGTGGTTTCTGAAATACTTGTGATTTAAGGATGTAATCTAGAAATATAACATCAGAACTGTATTAAACCACATTGCATGTATTTTGAATTTAGTTTTCTTCTATTTTACGTCACTAACGTCCCATACACTCTCACAAATTTCTGTGCATTCCCTGTTGAACTACATTGCGGTTGTGAATACATGAATATTTGCACGCAAAATATTAACTCATCAGGCACATTCACAGGGCTTTGCTACAATCATGCATGATATGATTTTGCCTCCAATGTTGTATTTTATCTGATCTCATATTTATACACATTATGCTGCATCTGCCATGCATTTGCTCATTCACTCAGCTTATTCAATCACACTGAAGTATCTCTGCATTCTCCACAGATCACCCTCTTACCCACCTTTGTGTCATCTGCACATTTGGAGACATTGCATTTAGTTCCCTCATCTAAATCATTAATACATATTGTGAATAGCTGGGGACCTAGCATTGAACTCTGCAGTACACCACTAGTTGCTGGCTACCATTCAGAAAAAGATCAGTTTATTCCTACTGTTTGTTTCCTGTCTGTCAACCAGTTTTCTATCTATTTCAATAAACCACTGCCAATCCCATGCACTCTAAAATTACACACTATTCTCTCCCATGGGACTTGTCAAAAGCCTTCTGATAATTCAAATAAAGCAGATCAACTGGCTCTCCTTCATCAACTCTACTTGTTACATCCTCAAAAGAATTCCAATCAAGCATGATTTTCCTTTCATAAATCCATTCTGACTCTGTTCAATGCTTCACTGTTTTCCAAATGCTTAGCTATTAAATCTTTCACAATGGACTCTAGCATTCCCCACTACTGACATCAGATTCACTGATCCACAATTCTCGGCTTTCTCTCTGCCTCCCTTCTTAAATAGAGGGATTACATCAGCTACCATACAATCTGTAGGAACTGTTCCTTTGTCTACAGAATCTTGGAAGATGTATTCACCATTTCTAGGGTCACTTCCTTAAGTAGTTAGGGATATAGATTATCAGTGCCTGGGAATTTATTGGCCTTCAATCCCATTAATTTCCCCAACACCATTTCCCTACTAATATGATTTCCTTCAGTTCCTTCCTGTCACTAAACTTGGTGTTCCCCAACATTTCTGGTATGTTTTGAGACCTTCTTTGTGAACATTAAACTGAAGTATGTCTTTAGTTGAGTAACCACTTCTTTGTTCCCCATTATAAATCCCCCTGTTTCTGTAAGGGACCTCTATTTCTCTTCACCAATCTTTTTCTCTTCACATATCTATAGGAACTTGTCCAGTCAGTTTTGATGTTAGCCGTAAGCTTCCTCTCGTACTCTATTTTCCTTTCCTTAATCAATCCTTTTGTCCTCCTTGCTGAATTCTACTTTTCCTTCTGCTCCTCAGGTTTGTTGTTTCTTCTGGCCAATTTGTATGTCTCTTCATTGAACCTGGTACTAAATTTCACATTTGGCCACATTTCTTGATTTGCTTTTGCACCAGACAGAAATGAACAATTGTTGCAGTTCATCCAAGCACTCCTTTAATGTTTACCATTGCCTTTCCACTATCATCCCTTTAATTTACATTTCCCAAGCTATCATAGCCAACTTGCGCCTCATACCATTGTAGTTTTCTCTATTTAAATTCAGGAACCTAGGCTCAGAATCAACTATTTCACTCTGCATCACATTATGGTCACTAATCCCAAAAGGGGCTTTGCATAGCTAGATTGCCAATTATTCCTTTCTCATTACACAATATCCAAGCTAGGATGGCCTGTCCTCCAGTTAGTTCCTCAACATATTGATCCAGAAATTCATCCCGTAGATACTCCAAGAATTCCTCCTCAACAGTGTTGTTACTAATTTGATTTGCTTAATCTATATGCAGATTTCAAGTCACACATCATGTGTTTAAGAAGGGAAGCAGGAAATGGGAAATTATAGGCCGGTTAACCTAACTTCAGTCATTGGTAATAATTTAGAGGGCATTATTAATGCAGAGTACTTGAAAGTGTATGATAAAGTAGGGCTGCCAGCACAGGTTCGTCAACAGGAGGTCATGACTGCCAAATCTGTTTGAATTCTTTGAGAAGGTAACAAGCAAGTTAAACAAAGGAGAGCCAGTGGACATGATCTATTTCAATTTCCAGAAGGCCTTTCACAAGGTGTTGCACAGCAGGCTGTGAAATAACATAAGAGCCCATGGTATTAAGGGCAAAGTACTGGCATAGACAGAGGTTTAGCTGCCTGGCAGAAGGCAGAGAATGTGGATAAAGGAGTCCTTTTCAGGATGGCAGCTGGTGACTAGTACAGTTCCCGAGGGGTCAGTGTTGGGACAACAACTATTCACGTCATACATTAATAATCTGGCCAAAGGAAGTGAGGGCATTGTTGTTACATTTGAAGATGTCACAATGATAGGTGGAGGGACAGGTAGTGTTGAGGAATCAGGGAGGCTACAGAAGTACTTGGATAGGCTAAAGACTGGGTAAAGATGTAGCAGATGGTGGGCAAGTGTGAGGTTGTGCACTCTGGGGAAAGGCTTCAGAAATATGAAGCATAAAGGGTCTTAGGAGTCCTAGTTCAGGATTCTCTTAAGGTTAGTGTGCAGGTTCAGTCAGTAGTTCAGAACGCAAATGCAATGCTCCCATTCATTTTGCGAGGGTTAGCATATAAGAGCAAGAATGTACTGCTGAGGCTAAAGCCTCTGGTCAGACTGCATTTGGATATGAGCAGTTTTAGGTCCCATATATAAGGAAGGATGTGCTGGCCTTGAAGGCTATTCAGAGAAGGTTTACCAAGGATAATCTCGGGGATGAAGGGCTTGTCATAAGAGGAACAGCTGAGGACTCTGGGTCTGTACTTGATGGAGTTTAGAAGGATGATGGGGGTTTCTGGTTGAAATTTACAGAATACTGAGAGGTCTGGATAGAATGTAATAGTAGGAGAGACTAGGACTCTAGGGCACAGTTTCAGAGCAAAGGGACAACCCTTTAGAACTGAAATGAGGAGAAATTTCTCCAGAGGATGGTGAATGGAGGCCATGTCATTGAATGTATTTAAGACAGAGATGGATAAGTTTTCAATTAGGAAGGGGGTCAAAGGTTATGGGGAGAAGGCAGGGGAGTGGTGTTGAGAAACATATCAGCCATCTAATGGCAGATCAGACATGATGGGTCGACTGGCCTAATTCTGCTCCTATTTCTCATGGTCTTATAATTAGACATTCCTTTACTGATTGTGTCTCTACTCCACTCCTTTGTATTCCAGCCCCTTTGAGTTAAAAACTAACATTCCACTAGCATTTTGAATTAATTTTAGTGATAAATATAGGTGCATAATCAATGTGACCTTGAAATCTCTTGATAAAAGATATAGCAGGATTACTTTATGAAGAATTGGATTTTTTGCAACATGGTGAATTATAGGCAATTTTCAATTGATTGCTTTTGTGAACTTGCCATTTAAGTAAAAATAACATGCTTCACACACATTAGACATGCAACAGTTATAAAACTTTCAATGATATAGATAGATAAATCATATGTGGTAAATGAATTGTCCATAGACAAAAAAGAAGAACATTATAATACCTGAAGTTCATTCTTAACCTCTTTATTCTTTATCCACATCTTGCCCTGGTTTTGTGGATCAACCAGCAATGGGTAACGAGCTGCTTTGGTAACAATAATTCCATTCTGGATAGACAACTCATCATTTGGTAAACCTTGTAGACTCCATTCACCAATTGTAGGAATGTCAATTAGCATTTCTGTAAGGTTCAAGTTGCTGGCAAAGGGAATCTTACGAGATTTCATTTCTTTCTCCCAATCTCTCAAAAGCAAATTACGGAACTCTTGATTAAATGGGCCTGAATATGACAAAAAGGCAGTTGCCAACAATACATCACCTGGAACAACAAATCAAAAACAGGAAAACATTAGCGGTTCAGGCTCTTTGCTTAATAATTCAAAACCACATTAATAACTTCAGAGTTCTTTTGCACTGCCGACTCAGGAGAGCAACAGAGTGTGTAAATACTTCAGTAGAGGGAAGAAGGGTTATAGATGAGAAGCGAACATCAGCACCAAAGTAATAAAAAAATGCATCTTTCATTACTTCAGGGATTAATTCAGGGCAGCACGGTGGCTCAGTGGTTAGCACTGCTGCCTCACAGCACCCTTCCGGGTGGAATCAACCCAGGTTCGATGCCACCCTTGGGTGACTGTGTTCTCCCCATGTCTGTGTGGGTTTCCCCCAGGTGCTCTGGTTTCCTCCCACAGTCCAAAGATGTGCAAACTAGGTGAATTGGTTTTACTAAATTGCCTGTAGTGTTCAGTGATGTGTAAATTAGGTGAGTTATAGGGGGATAGGTCTGGGTGGGATGCTCTGAGGGTCAGTGTAGACTTGTTGGGCCAAAAGGCCTGTTTCCACACTGTAGAGATTCTATGACCTAAGGGATATGAGTTCAAAAGAGATTTACTAGAATGATACCAGGTATGAAGGATTTTGGATACAAGGAAAAATTGGGCTTATTCTCCTTACAGCAGAGAACATTAAGAGGTGACCTTATTGAGGTGTCCAAAATTATGAACCATCTTTACAGGATAAATAAGGATATTCTGTTTCCACGAGTTGGTGTGTCAGTAACTGAGGGACACAATTTCAAGACTGTCAGCAAGAGATCTAGGAGAGAGATGAGGAGAAACTTCTTTACTCAGAGAGAGTTGTTAGAATTTGGAATGCGTTGCCTAGGAGACTGGTGGAGGTGGATTCCATAGGAGGTTTGAAAAGTGAGCTGGATGTATATTTGAAAGTGATGAAGTTACAGGGTAATTGAGATAGGGCTGGAGAGCTGGACAAGCTGGGGAGCGCTTTCAGGAGCCGGTACAGACATGATGGGTCAAATGGTCTCCTGTTGTACTGTAAAATTCTATGATTTGATGATAAACCAGTGATGACACCCATGCACTTCATCAAAATAGTGATATGAGGTCTTTTACATTCATTTGAGGCGATGGGGAGGCTTTGGTTTAATGTTTGCTCTGACAAAAGATCTATAGGTGCAGTTGGAGAGCAATGGCAATGATCCAAACACAACAATCTGCGGGACACATTCTTAAAGTGAAAGAATTAATCCAAACGCGTTTTAAAAATTGCAATAAAAGATATTTTCTCTAGGGTGCACTTTGTGAATGGGATTTCCAGTTCAGAAAAAAAAAGAGCAATTACTTAATCTGTCTGCTCTGGAATATCTTGCGTTGCTCCAAAGTTATGTATATGATGCACCTCTGGGGGGTTCAATTTAGGACTGGTGAAGAGAAGAAAGGGCTCATTCTTAAGCCTCCCATCTTAGTTCCCTCTGTCTATAATCAGTAGACGGAGGTGCTACACAGAGGGAAGACAAAAGAAGCTGGTTCTGGGGCTTATGTCAAGGTTCATGGGCAGACATACAGTAAGAAGACAAAAGTTTCATGTTTCTTCAATATGTCTCTGCCCTCACCTGCAGCCAATCCCAGCCCAGAGTACTCAGAATGATTTTTGAGCTCCTTTCCTCCAGATGCTGCATGGCTGGCCGTGTTCTTCCAGCCTCCTGTTTGTCAACAATGCAACAACCCCTGTTTCCTTCATTACTCTCTTTTATCCCAGTTCAAGAGTCAATTTTTGATTAGCAACTCCAGGCCATAACTCAGGCCAGATAAATCAAGGGCATTCCCATCAACATCCTCCCCAACAGCCATCACCGCCCATACTCCAGAACCATCCAATCACCATATGAAGAAAATCAGTTGTGCAAACTACTTTTTGATTCATATCTGCACAGCACACATCGTGTAAACACAGTCTTATTCTGGAATAACAGCCTGAGTTGATACTGGATTGAAGCTAGAGACTCTCTAGAAAAAGGCAGTCTCACTTCACTTTGTTTTCAAGACAATTCAGGCCTTCATACTTGATTTACATTCGAAGGTCTTAGCTCCAATGCAAAGCTGATTGAGCACTAAGCCTGCAGTGAGAATGAACCATTAAGCTTATTACAGTGTGCTGGTCTTAAATTATATTCAAAACTTATAGTACAGCTGCTGTTGAAATAAAATCCATTGCATATTGATTAAAAATGCTGCTTTGTTGTTTAATGTTGTTAGCAGCAGTGACAGTTTAGTATACCATATTGATTAATATTGCATAGTGTCCATTATCTAGAGTGTGCCCAATTTTAATGATTCCAATCAAATTTAGATTTCCTCCAGCAAAGTATTAATATTCATGTTATTGATTTTACAATATTATGAACTATATTATTTAAACAATCATTTTTCAAGTTGTTTGGTAATGCAGAACTTGAGAATTGTTGAACAAAGACACATTTTTCTGAAGCTTTCCATTTTGCACTCATCTGGATAAATAATATCACAGTAAAAGGCAAAATTCTTGATACTTTAAGAGAGGTAAGTGCTAACTGGTTGGCAATTGTAGTCCAATTAGTGCAGGTTTTACTACAGATAATGCACCATTCAACGATGGCGAAAAGTCTGCTGCCTGTTTTTGTGTAAATTTTAAACCAACATAGCTTACAATAAGAGTCAACCTGCTGAGTTTAAAATTTAAACAAGGCCTGACTATTACCCATCAGTCATCAATAACTGCATTCTCCATGGCAATACCTGCACCATGGTCTGTATGCCAACCAAACATTAATCTTTTTTTTCCTTAAATTGGTCTCCTTTCAAATTGTCCTGATGAGTGTAAGACAAAAAGCTTTAATCGAATGAGATAGTAGGAACTGCAGATGCTGGAGAATCTGAGATAACAAGGTGTAGAGCTGGATGAACACAGCAGGCCAAGCAGCATCAGAGGAGCAGGAAG